CTTTATAGGAATGAAGCATAATCTATATGGCAGGGAGATGGACGTGGAAACATGTAATCATTTGTCTTTAGAAAATTCCTTTAGATAGCAGCCCCATAAGGTAGTAATAATAATAGTACCCAACACAAAGTGAGCACGTATAATGTGCCTAGCACTGTGAGAGGTACTATCCATAAATGAGCTTTTAACCTCATCACAATCCTACGAAGGAGATTTAACTTTTATCCCTATTATGCAAATGAGGAAATTGAGCACAGAGTGATTAGATGTCCTACCCAAGGAACCAGGACTCAAACCAGAGCTTTCATGTCCATTCTCTGGGCCAGCGATGGTGATCACTCCTCCACGAAACCCAGTTTACCACATACTGCATCCGGTCTCTGTGCAGAGTGACTCGTGATTAGCGGACTCTGCCTTTTCCTCCGTGGCTCTCGTGGTTTCTCTGTGGCCATACACTCAGTTCTAACTCGGCTAGTCAAGGACAGATCTTCGCTTCTGTTCCAGGCCTCTCTGGGGCTGCCCAGGAAGGAGGAGTGGGCAGTGTCAAGAGCCGTGTGAGGTCATGCTCGAGTGAAGAGTGTGGGAAAGGTCGAGGGAAGGAGGGAAGGAGGCAGAACAGATCGGATGCAGGAGCTTTGGCAGGGCACAATTTGTCCTTCCACCCTCTCTCCTGCATCGCACCCACATGCGCACACATGCTCACACACACACTCACACTCACTCCACTGCCACAGTTCTTCCCCAGGACTACAGCTGAGAGAATGTTTGTTTGGCCACCCAGTAAAGCAAACAGAGAGATGTGAGTGACTCCTGCAGAGACAAGTTAAGAGAGTCATAGCGATAGCTTACAGTGAACGGTGTCAGATTCATGATCTCCGAAGAAGAAGATTTAACTTCAGGACCAGGGACCAGGCTTGATCACTCAAGAGCTTTTGTGTAGCAGAGTTTCATTAAACTACAACAAGGGACAGAGAAAGCTTCTGACATAGACATCAGAAGGGGGATGGAGAGTGCCCCCCTTGCTAATGTTGACAAGGGAGTTATATGCTTTTTTAATTAGTTATTACAATAAATCAAAAGAATGTCTCAAGGTTGTAAAGATCTTACTAGACCCATTGCCATGATTTACATTTTAAGATTACAGGATTAGCCAGAAGGTTTTCAGGAAGGAGAAACTGTGCTCAAGCAGGATACATTGTTGTTCTATAATCCTTAGTACAGAGTTTAAACTGAGCTGTTTGTTGTGAAACCATCAGTTCCAGGCTTAAAGAAAAAAACATTTTTTGTGACTAAGAGGAAGGAATGTAGAGAAAAAAAAAGACATTTGTCCTTTCCTCCTCCTTGAGAATTCCAGACCCCTGTCTCCACTTCTAGAACCCTAGATCCCTTTCTCCTTCTCGGGGACCCCGGACTTCCTATCAACCTGCCTAGGAATTGACGCGCTCAATAGGTGTGTATGTCTAATCCATATTAGATGTGGACATGAATTCGAGCAGACTCCAGGAGACAGTGGAGGACAGAGGAGCCTGGTGGGTTTTAGTCCATGGTCTCGCAGAGTCAGACACTCAGTGACTGAACAATAACAGCAGCAGATGTCTAATCCAGGTCCACAGTCCTCTGCAACATCCGGAGCAGAGTTCACGTGGCCTCCTTGGAGTAACCTGGTCCCCGTATATGCCCTCCTTTCTCTCTTCATTCCACATTCTTGATCTCATTTCTGTCCTCCTCCTTCCGGCCTCTCCCAGGGGTTTAGGAGATCAGTGCTAGGGCCTGGGAGCCAAGTGAGGTGGGGCTAACTAGGTGGAACTTCATCTTTCCCCAGCCCCTTTCTCCTTCTCCTTGGCCTTCTGGCTTGCCATCAAGGACCAGCATTAGGGGAGATATGGAGTAGGTTTCCAAGAAGCAGCAGGGTCACAGCAGTGAGGTAGAAGAGGAAAGAAGCCTGCAGCTTAGACAGTGAAGACATGTGCAGAACTGTGACTTCAAGAAGGGCTGGCAATGAGTGTGCAAGGGCTGTATCCAAATTAAGGACTACCATAATTGTCCTAAGCAATACCATCTTTTCCTAAAACAGGGACATGTTCTAGCATGCGCTGCCCTAGTTATCAACCAGAAGCTCTTTTAACTAAGCCCATCCTATCTACCTTTAAACTTGGCAGTGCATTTCCACTGCTTCTCCTGCCATGGGACCTTCTGAAGAAGTAGTTTTGTCTTAACAGATTCTCATTATGCTTCTACCAGTGCTCTCGAGGTCTGTGCTGCTCTCTGGGCTTGGACTGAGGCGAGTTCACCAATGGGCAGAAGCTTTGCTTAGCTGACCCCTTAGGACCAAAGCAGCCCATGTTAGTAACAGTGAAAGACAAACAGGTGCCTGAAGGAAAGGGCAGCTGGTCACACCCGGCATCTCAGTGCAGGGGAGTAGAGGCCCTGGAGCCCTCCTTGGACTTCCAGGCGCCTGGGCTTGAGTGAGAGTGGATAAGTCTGGCCCTCAGTGGCAGATGCAGAGCCAATTGATGTGCTGGGTGGGGAAAGCAGGCATGCTTAGAAAACTCACAAGCACAGCTGTGCTCACAGGGCTGCCCATGGGGACAGGTGCAGTGGGTCAATCTAAGGCATTAAATCCCATGGCGGCGGGTGAAGAACAGAACAGAGATCCAAAGTCAAGGGCCAACAACAGTGCAAGTATCATTCGCAGATAAAACCTGAAGAGATTCTTCTAGACGCTGGTGTGCAGAAGGAGGGACTCTTTCCTGAGCAGGGTGACCCCACACTGTCCCTGTCTGCTCAAGGATGCCCGTTGTCCCAGAGTAATTATTTATAGCATGCCTTTCACTCTCAAGAAGGCCCCGATTTGGACAATAAATTATATTGTTATCTGGTTTCCAAGGCAGCATTCTAAGACTTCAGTTAGTTCCAAGAGTAGCTTGCTTCTGGGGTGCAGAAAGGATTAAGTTAATGGTGAGTAGCCTGCCTTCCTTCCAACAGCCTCTGTAGACCATACAAAATTAGCCATTGTTACCAATGATTTAGTAAGAATACATTTTGCCTTGTTCTAAAGACTTATACAGGGCAACCTTTATAACCATCTGGGAAATGGAGTCACCAAGACCAGATATTCTTCATAGGTGTTAACTGTCCCTGATCTGTCTTCTGCTAACTTTTGCTGCTAGGACAAAGTGCTGTGGGGCAGGACAATATCCTACAAACACTGTCTGGGTCACAGTGTCCACATAGCTTTCTTGGGGCTGCCCTCAGACCCCAGACCACCTGTGAGAGTTCAGTGACTTCAGTTGTTTGGCTGATTTTTTTTTTTTAACTTTTCAATTTGTGATTTTTAACAGAAAAGAAATGCAACTTTTATTTTACCTCTGTAAAACCTCTTCTTCAACAAAAACACTTAATACTTATTCCATCCAGCATGAGTTGTAAGTTCCTTGGAAGTTTTGTTGATCAAGATAGACACAGAACCTTCCTGGAGGAAAACCTAACTCATGTGAGCTCCATTAAATTTGTTCAAATTTGTGATCATTTGGCCTCATTGAATTAGATGTGCCTTGATGCTAACCTTCAAAAAGGATTTGCTCTAAGCAGGCTGTTAGGACAGATAAGCTGTAGGAGAATATTTGAATGATATGGGTCATTTCATATAGAAGTAGATATTTGCTATGGAAAATGCACAGCTCCATCACTGTTTTCTGTTTATTAAAATAGAATCAAGGCCTCAACTTGGAGGATATATAATAGGCAGTAGTTTTATTAGCCTACTTGAAGTTACTGTATGAATTTGAATATAAAGCAAATTCAGTCATTTCAAAAATTTTCCATACTTCAAATTTATTTATTATATGTTTATCTAGCCTGGCTTTTTTCTCTATTAGTGAAATAAGTTACATTTGTGCAGTGCTGTCTTTTTGATGGAAGGTTTAGCGATTTCAGAGTATAATTGTTTTAAATTGGGAAAATTCAATTTTCTCTAATGTTGTAACATTTAAACTCAGCCGTGAATGCCTGCGCTTTCTTGCGTTACCCAAAACATTTGGAAATGAACTCATCTCAACTCATCTTCTTCCCCAGCCACTCCCCAGCCCCCAGAAGGTCACCAACCACATTTCCTTACTCGAATTAATGCTAGCACAGCCCTCCGAGGTGCTCAGAATCTCCTGAGTCATTTGGTCTCCTCATCCCTCCTTTGGATTCTCCCCATCTCTTCTTACACTCCGTTCACTTCCATTTCCTGCAAAGCTTTCCTTCGGCATCTCTCTGGAAGCTGCCCCTTCTCTATTCCCTAGAGACAATGTTCAGGATCATATTGCATCATATCTGGAGGGGTTCCACGGCTTCCAGGTTGGTTTCTCCACCTTCAGGCTTTCTCCATCTTTAATTTTTCCCGGATTAACCTTCCTCTAATGCAAATGAGCATTCATTCCTCTGACCAAACACCGTGAGGGGGCCAACAGGCACAGGATAAAATTCAAGCAAGCATTGTCACCAGATGATCAAGACACTGTCTGCCCGGATGCAGCGCTGTCTCCCACTGCTTTGAGGCACAAGCCCGTGGACCCTGACACTCTGCTCTCTTTCCCACTCTGTCCTCACACGTTCTTGCTTCCTTGCTTTCATTCACATGGCTTTCCACCCTCAGAATGACTGTGTCCCCGCTAAGTTCTACCTCCTGAAAATCTCACAACCCAGCTCCAAGGCTGTCTCCTTTTGAAGACTCAGCTGGAGGCGGGCCCATCCTCTGCTCGGGCCTTTGCACCGTTGTGCTTATTGCTGTCACCGTACAGGGCGTTGTTGTTACTATTGTCACTTTGGTGTTGACACATACCTGCTTCATTGTCAGCTCCCCGGGGAGTTCAGCTCATTATCTTGTGCAACACCTAGATCAGGGCTTTAGGCTTCATAAGTTAATAACCTCATTGGATCGGTGCACTTATAATTCAAACCTGAAAAGCTAAAAATACATCAGGTAAACTCACAGAAATGTTCTCTGTTTTCAGCAAAACCCAAAATCACCTACGTAGAGAACCAGACTGCCATGGAACTAGAAGAACAGGTCACTCTTACCTGTGAAGCCTCGGGAGACCCCATTCCCTCAATCACCTGGAGAACATCCACCCGAAACATCAGCAGTGAAGAAAAGGTATAATATCACCCAAGAGTTTCAGGGCCATGGAACTCAGACCCGACCCGGGCTCAGTCTGCTCCATGCCCAGCCCTCTTCGGTGAACCAGAAAATAGGATGCGGTCACTGGAGGTCACCGCCAGGTTCTGTGGACCCCCTCCTCCTGCCTGCCCTGGCTGTGGCCTACTCGGCATCCCCTTGAGATGGAGGAGGCACAGTTCCTCGCATGGATCTGCAGAGGTGTCATGTTAGTGGGTGTGGGTAAGTTAGACATCCCGAGGAGGATGGAGATAGGGATTCTCCAGTGCACAGTTATGGAGCTGGGGAGGGACAGGGGGAAGCTGAGATCCTGGTGCCCTAGGTGCTATTAGCTTCATCTCAGGAGCACCCAAGGAAATGTCTCCCAGAACTAATAGGGGTCAGAATGAGCCTATTAATTCTTTTCCTTGTGATGTGTATATTCATGCTCCACATGTACTATATGCACAAAAGCTTGGTTGCCTTTCTGTCTGCCTGTATTTTCAGTCACATTTGGGTATCATTTTGTTCTCAAGGCAAAAATAATTAGCAGTTTCTACATGAGGGTGATTACACCAGGTTCTGCAAGATAGTCTCTGAGAACCGAAAAACACTGCAGCAACGTTCCTGGCAAATTTAAATGACTTGTAAGATATAGATTCCAAGCACATGGATTTATAGGTCGCCGGAAAGCTGTCTTTATTATTGACAATATATGAACATTGAGGTAACCCCATACTGGGCAGCCTTTTGCTATTGAGTGGGCCTAAAGGCAGGAGGAGGAAGAAGCTTGGTTTTAAAGCAACTTAAACCGTCTCATGGCACTTTTCCAATCTCTTTTCATATATCCTGCAGTAATGGGCTTCGTTTTAGTTAGCCACAACTTTGTCACCTCTTCAGGAGTAATAGTCATAGCCTTAAAGAACATTTATAATGGATTGCTGATTGACCAGAATGTCAGAAAATGATAGATCATCACTCTTCTGTCTGCATAAGGAAATCCCTAGAGAGAGTAGACTCAAATAAAGCTAAAAAGGGAGAATGTGAAATTTCAGAGCCAAATTTGGAATTTGCATTTGAGCAACTGATTTCTCTACTACTAATAGAAGACAAAGCTAAATCAAGAGGAACAGAAATTGCTGTTCCAAAAAAAATCCATTATTTTTTTGCAAGTGTTACCTCCAGAGTTGAATTCAGCTTAACCGACACTCAGCTGAGGAACTGCTAAGTATTTTTGAAACTTGCATATGCTGTTTGATATTGTGAAAACCAACTGAATTAAGTAATGTGGTGTTTACTTGGATACATTCTTTATCAACATTGGAATTAAACCCTCAGCTCAGATTTTTAACTCCCATCATGTGTGTTACGTGGATTGAATGTACATCTCAGGGCTCAAACCACAGGGCTGCTGCTTGGAGGATTTTTCTGTATCAAGCTTGAGAGTAGATTTGTCCAGAATGACCCAGTGTACGTCTCTGACCTAAAGTGAAGGACAGAAATAACATCTACCAGATTAATGATGGTTTTAAATTTCTATATCTTTTCTAGGGATAGCTCAGCAGCCAAGCTAGACCAGAAAGGTTATTGTGATTTGTGCCTACCTCAGGTCCTTTAATAGGTAGATACTTCTGGCTTGTACCTGTGAATTCATTTTTACAGAATGAGAACAAAAAGCTAGTCACTAATACACCCTCATGCTTCCTAAATATTAAAACAAAACACGTCCAGCAGAGACCATCTCAAGCCAAGGAGGCTTTGCATAATTCAGTTATCAGTGTAGATCATTAGTCTCAGTCTGAGAAAGTATTTAAGCCCAGCTACATAGCTTGTGTTGTGCTTTCTTTTACTATGGACTGCCTTCAAGTGACATTACTAAAACCAGAATAAGTCTTCCAAACTGGCCAGTGATGTAACCTCCGATCAGCATATTTGCCTAAATGAAACCCTGTAGAGAAAAGTTGCCATTTCTATTAATTATATATTGACATCAAAACAGCCTGGCAGTCATCTTACACTGGGAGTGGCTAAAACTTTAGAAAACAGAGGTGGCCTGTTTGTGAGCCAGTTTATCTCCAAATAGTAAATATTACTTTTATCTGGCAGCCACTCCTCATTGTCTCCTGTGTCTGAAGTTGCATGATAAATAGTCAGGTATCAAGATGATTCGCAGAGTCACAGAACTGTAGGAGCAGAGGCAAGCCATTTTATTTTGCAAGTCAAGATTATGCACTGAGCTAAGAATAGACAGTTGTGTCTACCGGCAAGGGCAGGAGGGCTCCTGAGAAGTAGATCCCATGACCTGCCAGAATCCCAGAAGGTTGGCAGGAAGCCTCCTTTGGAGGTTGTCTCGTCTCGCTGCCAGAAAGTCCCTCAGCCCCTGCTTGAAGGGCGACAGCGCCAATCCTCTGCAGGGCAAGAGGTAGCCCTGATGCTCAAGAGGGCCTGCTGCTTCCCAGCCTTGCCGCCCTGCCACTGGGTCCCTTGCGTGGGAACTGCTGACCAGCCCTCCAGTGTTTCTCTAGTCGGTCCTCTGACCCTGTGACACTTCCGGTTATTTTCACTGCTGCTCTTACCTCATGGCCTTCACACCCTTCGCCTTTCCAGTTGTACTAGAGAGCTTCCCTTCACTAGCGTCCCCTCTCAGTTGGCAGCGCCCAGTGCAGCGGTCCTCCTCGCTTATTGCTCGCTTGGTCTGGACACGGACGTCATGCAGTCAGCATCACGTTAGCCCTTTCGTAGCGTCCTCATTCCGGTGTCTCCTGTTGAGCTTGTGGTCAGCTAAAAGACCCAGCTTGTTTTGGTATGAACTGCATTTAAGCCACATATCCCCTGTCCTGTCCTGATGCAATTGATTGCCTAACTGATAATGCTGAATTTTATATTTGTTTCTATTAAAAATTGTTTTGTTTGTTGCAACCCAGTATTTCTCAACCGGGGGTCAGGATGACAGTTTGGGAAGACTTTCTTCACTGAGACTGTCCTGTGCATTGTAAGATATTTCCCACCACTGCTCTTTTCCCTTTAAGTGTTAGTAACCACCTCTAATCATTCTGATTACCAAAAACGTCACATACAGAAACACTCCTTGGCTTGAGAATGACCATTTTAGTCCATCTTGCTGACCAGTCAGGACTGGTTTTCATCAGAACTGTCCTTAGAGGTCTTTGGGTCCACAGTATTTCAGCCAGTGGGGGCTCCCTGTTTCATTTATGTGTGTTAAAAGTAATGGGGTCTAACAGTCAATGATGACCCAGATCTAAGTCCAAGACCCAAGGGCAGGTATTTCAGCCTTCCCCATACAACTGCTGTCCAGCATCTGTATTAGCTGTTGCTTCCAACCTTGTATGAATACTTACTTGAAATATCTTTGTCCAAGTCCTTGATAAAAATATTGACTGGGAGAAAATCAAGTCCTGAGCCCTTAGAATGCCACCAGGGGTCAATGGCTCAGAGGTAGAGGGCATGATGCCATGGTACTGTCTAATGATCCTGATGACTTTCTTGGGAGGCTCAATGCTTCCTTTAATAAAGTTAGTGACAGTAGACACTGATTAAGTACAGCTTTCTCTTTTGCTTCACTGCTTAGTTGAGTCTAGTATATATCCTTTTTAAGAGGAGGGAGAGCAAAAGCTTTCAACCATGGAATTGTGGTGACTTTCTAATGGAATACTGAAGTTCTTCATTCAAAAAAGATGAGAAAAAAAAAGCAAAAAAAAGTACAATGAGCCCAAAAGTCGCATCATATCTTTGATAATGTCTAGCTTTAGTCCAATCACTCATTTCAGATTGATTATAATCAATCTGTTAGGCTTTAATTAGTTGAGTTGGTTTCACTCAACAACTGATAATAGCTAGGCTAAGGTTGGAGCACTAAGATCATTAGGGAATATCATCTGTCTGAAAGTTAATCCATTTCTTAGTGGTCACTAATATGTTGGCCAAAATTTTTGAACATTGTGATGGGTCAGTTTGATCTCTGTGTATGGAGGTCATTGTGATACCAAGAAAGTTTGTGCATCTGCATCATTTTATTACTCATCCTATTCAGACTCATTTTTTAAATTGCCAGGTATTTTAAAGACTCTCAGTAAGTGGCACTAAATTCCAGGTACTATTTATTTAGTGAGTGAGACCCCTAGATGGTGATTTGCATCCTCTCTCCCTGACAGAACAGTCCATTGTCTGATCATTTGAAAATCTCTAGGCCTTTGAAGAGACTGAGAAAGAAAGGCTAGTAAAACCTTAATGTCTAAGGAGAAGGAGAGGCACAAAGTGTTGAGATCAGAAGAGACAGAAATAAGTAAAGGGCATTTCATGAACCTTGTATCTTGAGTTGACAGAGTATCCTACAAAAAAGAGAAACCTTTTGAAACTCTGGATTCCTTGGAGACTGAAGTCTTTTCATCAGGAAGAACTCCTTATTCAGTACAAATCAGGTGCTTACTCTTAAACACCGGAGAAGGTGCCTGCATTGAGCAGTTAGAGTCTTTTATCTAGGATGTGGACAGAAGTCTAACAGGGAAAGCCTAGGATAAGTGTCTATCACTCCACTTTAGTTTGTATACATATTCCTACAGACTTGTGTGTAATATCATGAAACATGCAATGTTAAAAGCACCTGGAACTACAATTTTTGAAAAGCTAATCATATTCCAATTTGTAAGTGTATATTTGCATACCAGGTTATTTTAAAGTGGGCTACATGCCTTCACCAAATAATCAGGGTCAAGATGATCCTATCTGCTGTCATTGGTGCTGTTTGTCAGGACCTGGACTGATGTCCTTACCAAGTCCCCTTCCAGGAGGTGTGCTTTAGCCAGTTACAGAACTACCTCTGCTTTTCCCAACTAGGCTTACCAGATTTTTTTTTTTTTAAGTACAAGTGTGTCCCAGGTAAACGATGCATGGGGATCTACTTAATGCTAGATGTTTTAAATTTTAAACACTACACTAAAAATTAAAAAATTAGTCTTTGTTCATCTGAAATTCTATTCTAAGAAAAAAAGATTTATCTTATTTTCCCACCAGGCACACAGGTGGAAGTTCAGGCTACTAGAAGTATTGTGTTACTAGCATCCACTTATTCCAAAAGCCACAAAACCACCACAGTGAGTTGAGAAAGACGCAGGACGAATCAGATCTGAAAAGCAAACAACTCATATGATGGAGTCTTGATTCGTGCAGCCCTGGCACGTGGCACACAGCTTCTAAGCGATGTGGATATAGCAGCCACATGTGACATGTCTGCCTGCTGTTGCTCTGGTCCATGCGTGTTCCCGTTTCTCACTGCCCTCTTCACTCCACCATCCTGTGGCATCATCCACATCCCTCATTTCTCATGAAAGCTCCTTGCATTTAGTAGACTCTTCTTGCATTTAGTAGACTTTTACTAAATGTTTGCTAACTCATTCACATTCCTGGGATTGCATTGCTGTGTCTCTGGTGTCTCTTCTGTCCTTTTTCCATCTGAACCTCAGGGACAGTCAGGCAGTCAACAACATCAGGTATGATGTTTTTGACTCCCATCATGAAATCAGAAAAGCTGCAAGCAGAGTAGATTCCCCAGTGCTGGATAAATAAAAAATCTTGAAGTGGGTAGGAAAACACCCAAACCCCCCAGTGTTCCTGGGTTGGCTCACTCCTTTGTGAATGCCATGTTTGATGAAGATGCTTAAACCTGCATGTCATCCCTTTGCCTTTAAGAAGCTACTGGAACCTACCACAGCACTCAGAGTTCGATATCCTCAAAGCATCCTGCCCCGTAGTCTTAAGGGCATTCTTCTCATTCCTAAATATACCCACTCTGTTCCTTTCTTCATTCCTTTTTTTTTAAAATAAAAATTTGATTTTTGATAGTATGCATGCAAAGAGTTACAAAATGCATGAGCACAAAATAATATATGAATGATAAGCTGTCCAATCAAATCCAAAGGAGGAAACCTACTCTTCAAGTATCTCTGTATTGTGTGGTTAGAGCTAGCAGTGTCACCTAGCATGAGGACTATCCAAGGTATTTGGAAATAGGAGCAGTCTAATATGTCAGCTGGTAGCCATATGTATGTCTTCCAAAGGTTAGGAGAGGCTTTACCTGTGAATTGTACACCTTGATGTGCATAAGGGGGGCAGAAAAGCTGAGCATAAGCTAAATCCTAAGTTAAATTGGGCAGTGAACACACCATTGAAAGTGGGCCTTGGAAAAAGCTCTGAATTGAAAAGAAACTGCATGTGCACGGAATGCAGTGGGATACATCAGTTCTCTAAAGCAACATATTGTAAAATTTTACTGCTTTCTTGTTGTGTTTTATATCTTGTTCTCTCCAGGCTTCGTGGACTCGACCAGAGAAGCAAGAGGTATAGCTTACCTGACCACTAGTCAGTCTTTAGTTTTGCAAGCACTACAGTTTAACTCACCATTGCAGTTTAATAACCAGACATGCTAAAACTAACTAGTAATTTAGTTTGATTAAAGAATAGGTCCATAGTGGTAGATGTTACTTAGCAATAGTGTCATTGCAGGATGAGCAAGCAAGGTGTGTTGGGAGTGGATGAACAAATCTTTGTTATTTCCTAAGACTGGATTTTATTCTCTTGCTGGTGCTGATAAAATCACATCCAAGTAATTATACTCAGAGAAATAAATGGCCCCAGTTCCCAGGCCAGGTATTTTGAAATGATGAAATTTTTTGACTCTCACCTGGTTGATGTGGCTTTGGATCATAAAGTCACAGAGTTTAGTGATCTAAAAACCCACTCAGCCCTTACCTTTCCAGCTCAACTCATCTTGTTGCTCACTTATTTTATCATGATTGGTCTTGGTAAATTACCACATCACATTTCATCTCGAAGCAATGCAAATAACATCTCTCATTGGTTTTCCCAAATTGCTAAACACATTTATGTTACTTTTATAGAGCATTAAATTTATGAGATTAGAATGATGTGTCACAGATGATTGTGTGTGTGTGTGTGTGTGTGTGTTTAAGTCAGTACCATATTTAGCCTTTGAAATTTCTCTGACTACTTGCTGCCATTTGGGCAATGTGGGACTTAGTTTGAAAACTGAGGTTAAATATTAATCTTTAGATTGTAATTGCTACGCACCCAAGACCCTATTTAGGATTATGTCTACCATTCTTGACCTGCTTTGTGTGATTAAGTGACAGAATTGAAATCAAAACCAGTATGCTTTAGATGAAGTTCAAAAATCTAATCTGTAAAATATAAAGGAACCTTTTCTCTAGATGGAACTTAGATATTGTGTAATACCATAAATGTGGAATATGGCAATCCTGTGGACTATATTTTAATTGGGTAAACCCATCCCCCTAGTCTCTCAGAAATGATAATTATTCAGAACACATAACTCATGTGTTCAGGTCATGGCTATAAATATTTAATGCCGTTTAATATTTAAAAGTTGACTGCCTGTCCCCAGGCACCGATGGTAGTTTCTGCAGCCTGCTGTCGTTAAATCTAGTTCATTAGGAGCCCCCTTTGTATCATCCCTTCCTCCTCAGCGTAGGGACTGTAGCTAGGCGCACAGGCTCACTGAAACACTTTCCTCCTGCAGCCCAGAGGTGCTGTCACAGACGGGGTGCTTTATTGCCCAGAAGTCACAGGCTCATTAGGATTGGGGATAGGAGAAAAGAAGGGTTCATTATCAGCCCCTCCTGAACCACTTCCCCTCTCATTCCACTTGGCCTTGCACATCTTCCCCTGTCATTCAGATTTAGACCCAGCTAGAGGAGGAGCTGAGATTTATCAGGGAGCATTAAGGAGATGTTGAGAGGATTGCTATTAGTAGTGGAAGTAATTGGTTTACTCCTAGGAAAGCAGACACCTCACTCCCTTTTGCCAAAGTGCCCTTATCTTAAGTTATCTCGCTCTGGACATAATTGACTTTCAAGTGAGTTCTGCCCGCTGAGGCTTAGAAGCTCCATTCCTATTTGTCTCAGTCAGGAATGAAGACCACGAATCCAGATGAGCTCGAAAGAAGGCTTGGGTTGTGACCAGTTTCACTCTGAAAGCTCTGGAAAGCCTTAGGACTTCTCCTGGCAAGAAGAGAGACAAAAATATTTTGATGAGAAGAGCAATTATAATTGCCCTTAAGGATTTGTTGCAAAACAGGGTCTTCTTGCCATAACGATCTTTTCATTCATGCCCAGTTTATCTAGTTCCTTCTTGAATCTGGACCATCAGCCTGCCTGATGTCTGGTCTGGATGCCTTGGAGGGGGCGCTGTCTGACTCTGGCCTGGTGCCAGAGTAAATCATTTCAGTGGGAAATTGTCCAATCACCCTGGAGTCTGTCTGCGCCCCCTCGGAGGGAAGAACTGGGCATCTGGCAAGTAATCCTGTCATCAATCCTGTCTTGAGCCACCACAAAACTATAGTTCCCTGTGGAAGGCCGCCTGCCGCCCTGTTGACATCATTCAGTGAGAAAATTTTCCAGAGAGAAATTTAGACAGACCTGATAAAAGGGGGGAAAAAATAGGACTGTCAGTGCAGTCATTTCTCTCTGACCATTTTCTAGATCATTCTGAGTAAAAACTGCTCATGTCCCCTTTGTGCTTGCTTGTTGATGTCCTTCTCTTAGCTACAGGACTTTCTTTGCATCTTCTGCTGCTGCATCCTTCCTTATGGAAATGTCCTCTTGACTTCGGAAAGATTCCGGTCAGTTTTCCTTATTTGTGGTGGTGGCCCAGGGACAAGTCCTGGGTATGTGACAAAAAATTATAGAGTTCAGCTTCTGGCTGGCGTTACTGTTGGCTGAACCTGTGTTCTCACTCTTCTATCTTTTGGGGAAATAGGAATGATGAGCAGGTCAGGTCAGCCCTCATAGATTCTGCAGGGATGACCTCACACTCCAGATGCCACAAGTTTAGGTGATGGGTCAAGATTTTGTTTGGCACGTGAAAACCACCACTGCCATGGACCCTGTCAGCCCACTTGAAAAGGGTTTTCAGGAGCCAATATCTTCAACAGACCAGATGTCTCTGATTTTCTAGGCAGGCCCTCTACCCCAGCCCATGTCAGCTCACATTCGTGTGCATATCCTCTGGGGTGCACCTTCTCAACCAATCAGCCTACCTGGGGCTGATCACATGCCACCTGGGGGCGGAGAACCAAGGCATCTGGGCATTCCTGTCGGAGAGGGGTGGCCCTGGCTGCTGCAGGTGGGGATGGTGTTGCTCAACTCTGCTGTCTCCTTGCTGGCAGTTGTGTTCCAGCTTCTGGATATGAAATGCGATGGGGCTTAAATGACTGAAATAGACTAGCTCTACCAGGGGTGCTGGGCTTCCCCGGCGGCTCAGACAGTGAAGAATCTGCCTGCAGTGCAAGAGACCTGGGTTCTATCCCTGGGTCGGGAAGATCCCCTGGAGGAGGGCATGGCAACCCACTCCAGTGTTCTTGCCTGGAGAATCTTCATGGACAGAGGAGCCTGGTGGGCTACAGTCCATAGGGTTACAAAGAATCAGACGTGACTGATCGGCTAAATACCGATGACAGAGGGATGACAGAGGGACTTCTTGTGGTAGATCTGAGGCTACAGTTAAGGCCAATGGTGTCTTGCTTTTGAACTCCCCAAACTGGCCTGCTTTATGACATTTCAATACTGGATTTCGGGCTTCCAAACCAGCAGCTCAAAGGAACCTGAAGGCAGGTATTCTCTAGTTCTTTAAAAGCGCGACCTCATGGGATGACAGATGCTATAGGCAGAGTACTTACATGCCCCTGTCTGTGGAATACCACACAGTGGACATAAAAGTATGGCCCAGCCCATGAGAAGCTAGACTGCTTCTTCAGATGACCCTCTTTCTTGAGGATCTGAACTCAGACCACATGCCCAGACTCTTCCTAGGCCAGCAACCGTTTTACTTAACAGTGTAAAGGGGAAACCCCTAGGAAATATTCCAGTATCCATTGCCCCGGGCTCATATGCTGATTGCCTGTTTGACCAGTTCTTGTAATTCCAAAGACTCAGGAAGACAGTTCTAGTGTCACAGGCTAAAACATGGTAATTGTGGTGTCTAGGATCCTACATATGCCTGGGAACCTCTGTACCACCATCCCGGGAAACGGGACACAGTTCCCCTCACTTCCAGGGTGACAGCTCCTGAGCTCCAGATTGTTAGACTTTTTTGGAATGAAATTGTTTTAGTTTTAAGCATTCAAGAAAATGAGGCATCTGCAGAAAGATGACTTTCTTGTATCATTTCTTTCATTTGGCACATTCAGATTTCCCATTAAGTGTGCACGCACCAGGGAACCAGCAGATAGACGGGAAGGAAAGGATGGGAGTGCAGGTTTTCCAGAACCTCATGAGGTGAGGCTGTTGCAGCTGCAATGCCTGCTGGCCAGACTTTGGCTTCCATTTCAGATATGCCAAGCCAAGCTGTCTGGGGGCCTCAGTTATCCTTCCCAAGCCAGTCTTGGCACACAGGCTAGGCCGCTGGATAAACTGAGACCCATTTTTCTGTTTGGGATGCACCCAAGTTCCCATGGTGCTCTCTGGAGCCTTGCTGCCACAAGTTGGTACCTAAAGCAAGACCTAGACGTTGCCACAGAGAGGGGAGAGCTGTGAGGCTGGTCGTGGGCAGCGATGCCTGGTCTCAACGCCGCCCACCTCAGCCCCTGACGCTGCCCCTCCCCTCCCCGCAGACCCTGGACGGGCACATGGTGGTGCGCAGCCACGCCCGCGTGTCGTCCCTGACCCTGAAGAGCATCCAGTACACCGACGCCGGGGAGTACGTCTGCACTGCCAGCAACACCATCGGCCAGGACTCCCAGTCCATGTACCTCGAAGTGCAATGTGAGGAGAACGGCGGCAGGACGCGGGGCAGGGGGGTTTGCACAGGGTCGGGGTGACAGACCTGTCCTGCGGCGGTAGGCCCTAGGTCATCCCAAAGCTGTGTCTCCAAGGGACCCCCCCTCACCATCCTCAGACTTACAGGTCTGCGTGTCTCCCCACGCAGCTCATGGGGAAAGCCCCGATCCCCGCCTTCCCCCCAGCGTCAGATTGGCTTCAAGGCTCGCCCACCATCCCAGGGCCGGGAGCCAGAGTGGGGGGGACTCCGCGATCACGGCGGGCTTCCTGAGGGCCGCTGTCCTTCTTTGCAGATGCCCCCAAGCTGCAGGGCCCTGTGGCTGTGTACACGTGGGAGGGGAACCAGGTGAACATCACCTGTGAGGTGTTTGCCTACCCCAGTGCCACTATCTCCTGGTTCCGCGACGGTCAGCTGCTGCCCAGCTCCAACTACAGCAACATCAAGATCTACAACACCCCATCCGCCAGCTACCTGGAGGTGAGGCAGTGTGGGGCGGGGCGTGGTGCAGGAGGCGGGGTCTGAGCGTGCACAGGCCTGGGATGCAGCTAACATCCTCTCTCTCGCTTCTCTGACTCATCCTAAGCAGTGGAGCCATTGGTCAGGGAAGAAAGCCAGCCTCAGCCTGCCCCTTGCTCTCGAGGAGCCAGATCAGGGCCTGAGGGGAGCAGAGTGTTCCTTCCTCATGAGCCCCTTGTCTTTTTTTTTTTTCTTTTTTATTGAAATATAGTTGATTTGCAATGTTGCGCCCATCTCTGCTGGTCAGCATCATGACTCAGTTATACACAGAGATGCATTCTTCTTTATTATCGTCTTTCCCATTGTAGTTTATCCCAGGAAATTGAATGTCGTTCCCTGTGCTATATTGTAGGACCTTGTCGTTTATCCATTCTGTATGTGATAGTTTGCATCTACCAACTCTATGAGCTGGAGCTTTCCTGATTCTATTCTTAGTTCAGTAAATAAGGATCTGAGGTTGTGGCCATTCCGTGGGACACTTGTAACCCAAGAGCTCCTTCTCTCTAAAGGTGACCCCAGACTCTGAAAATGATTTTGGAAACTACAACTGTACTGCAGTGAATCGCATTGGACAGGAGTCTTTGGAATTCATCCTTGTCCAAGCAGGTGAGTGCCCCTTCCAGCTATACCACCCTCACCTGGGCTGGTCCATTTCATGACCTTCTGTGATGACAGAAAGTGGGGAGAAGGGGAGTAAAGGTCAGCAACCAAAGGGCAAGGAGGCTGAGAGCTAAGGGGGCTTAAGGAGCTGGACATGGGGTATGTTGGGAGGGAATTATATGGTGGGGTAGACCAGGAGATTCATGAGAGTTAAATGAGAGTCATGTTTCGTGATTGGAAGTTACGTCCTGGGCCAAATCCAGCTGACCTGGGTCTCCATCTGTGTCCTCCTCACAGACACCCCATCCTCACCGTCCATCGACCAGGTGGAACCTTACTCTAGCACGGCACAGGTGCAGTTTGATGAGCCAGAGGCCACAGGCGGGGTGCCCATCCTCAAATACAAAGCAGAGTGGAGAGCGATGGGAGAGGAGGTGTGGCACTCCAAGTGGTATGATGCCAAGGAAGGTAAGTTCCAGAGTCGGGGTTTACTCGAGAATGATGTCTCTGGGCACACACACACACCCCTTGAGTTCACTGGATCCTGGCTTCTGACATGACACCCCCCTGCTGGGAAATGCCAGATGCCACTGCCTGCCATCCCGTTGATGTCCCGGTGCTGCAGCACTGTCACTGGCCCCCAGCCTTGGGGTGTGGTCACATCTCATGTGGGGCTGTTGGCCTTCTGCCACCCCGGCACTTCAGAACCTGGTTCTCATGACCGTGCCAGGACGGATGAGGCCGGCTCAGCTGCTGTCCAAGCAGAAGCCCTGCTTAAGTACTGAGCACGACCCAGAGGAGTCCTGGCTACCCTGCTCTGCATATTTGGGTCCCGTGTGCTTCAGGTTCTCTGCTCTCACCCATCCAATCCTGCTTGGGTATGTTCAGGGATCGCCATGTAATTATGACATCAACCTAATAAGCAGAGCCGGAGAGATAGCTCTTTTAAATCAATTGTATGATATATTTCCAAAGATCTGAAAAATGACCCTTGGATGACTGCAGTCATCCAAGTTTCTGAGCTCAGCTCATCTTGCCCTGAGGATTGAATGTGTTTACGTCTGACTCTCCCTTTGAGGTTTAATTGGAATAACTCAGTGAAGTAAGTTTTGTTTCCGTAGCAATTTTTAATCCCAGAAATGAGGGTAGAGCTGAGAATGGATTGGATTAGGATGCAGTGTCACAGCAATTCAGAGACATCTTCCAACTCAGTTTTACTGAGAACTCATCCTTCCGGGAAGCTCCCATCACTCCAGCTTTGGGGAGGGCTAGGAGGATTTTCTGCGTAATCAGGATTAGAACTAGAAGAAAATCATCCTTCACCTCCCTGACATCCCCCTGAAACCTCATAATGACTTTGTGGCAGGTTAATCCCATGTCCAACAGACTTTTTGTTTCCTAGTTAACTTTTTTAATGTAGTAAAATATATATGACATGAGCTTCCCAGCTGGCACTAGTGGTAAAGAATCCACCTGCCAGTGCAAGAGACATAAGAGACTTGGGTTCAATCCCTGGATCAGAAAGATCCCCTGGGAGAGGAAATGGCAACCCACTCCAGTATTCTTACCTGGAGAGTCCCAGGGACACAGGAGCCTGGCGGCTACAGTCTGTGGGGTCGAAAAATTCAGACATGACTGAGTGAGTACCATATATAACATACAAAGTATTATTTTAAGCATTTTTTAGTGTTCACAGTTCAGTGGCATTAAATCATTATGTAGTCACCCCTGTCCATCTCCAGGACTTTTTCATCCTAAAGTCAATACCCATTAAATAACAACTCCCCATTCCCTCCTGCCCCAGCCCCTGGCAGCCAGCCTTCTACTTTCTATAGAGTTGACTCTTGTTGTGGTTGTTGTTTAGTCTCCGAGCCGTGTCTGAATCTTTTGCAACCCCATGGACTGTAGTCCGCCAGGTTTCTCTGTCCATGGGATTTCCCAGGCAAGAATACTGGAGTGAGTTGCCATTTCCTCCTCCAGGGGATCTTCCTGACCCAGGGATCAGACCTGCATCTCCTGCTTCTGCATTGGCAGATGATTCTTTACCACTGAGTCACCATGGAAGCCCATAGTTGACTATTAATAGTCTCTATGTAGTTGACTGTTCTAGGTGCTTCATATAAGTGGAATAATACAGTATTTGTCCTTTTGTATCTGTCCTGTTTCAGCTAGTGTGATGTCCTCAAGGTTCAGCCCTGTTGTAGTGCGTCAGAATGTCATGCCTTTTTAAAACTGGATAATATTCCATTATATGGAAGACCACGTTCTGTTTATGCATTCATCTGTCGGGGGACATTTGGGTTGTTTCCACAGTTCAGCTGTTACAAACAAGACAGCTGTGAACATTTGTACAAATATCTATTCCAGTCCCTGCTTTCAGTCCTTTGGTACATATATCCAGAACTGGAAGTGCTGGATCGAATCCTACCTTTAATCGCAGACGGATTTGCTATACTGTTTTCCACAGTGGCTGCACTGTTTCACCAATAGGCTTTCCCCCCTTTGTGACCCTTTTCGTGTTCTCACAACAGCCAGCATGGAGGGCATCGTCACCATCGTGGGCCTCAAGCCCGAGACGACGTACGCAGTCCGGCTGGCGGCCCTCAACGGCAAGGGCCTGGGCGAGATCAGCGCCGCCTCCGAGTTCAAGACGCAGCCAGTCCGTAAGTACAGCCCGCTGCCCGGCTCATCCCCTTGGGGTGGGGGGACCCATCCAGTGTTCAGATGACAGCTTTTTGTCTTTACAGGTCCCTCTGCTCACGGTGGTCCCACCTCCTAGTTCTCTGGCCCTCAGCGGTGGCCCATACCACTCCCTCTGTTCTCACTTTCTCAAAGGGCTTGGTGACACAGTCTAATAGCTGGTCCAGCTTGTTAGAGGAGTAGCTGGGGCAGAAAACCACGCACGCGTGTTATTAGAGGCACCAAGGAGACTCAGGGCAGCGTGGTGGGGATAGAGTTTGGAGATTTGCCCTTTGTCACAAGGGCCCTAGGGGCTTCCCCGGGGGCTCCGTGGTAAAGAATCCGCCTGCCAGTGCAGAAGACTTGAGTTCAATCCTCGGGTCAGGAAGATCCTCTGGAGAAGGGACTGGCAACCCACTCCAGTACTCTTGCCTGGGAAATCCCATAGACAAAGGAGCCTGGTGGGCTACGGTCCATGGAGTTGCAAAGAGTCAGACACCACTGAGAATCTGAACGCACACCCATGCACACACACACACACTCACACAGGCTCTAAGCACCTGGTGACTTGAAGGAAGACAGTGAAGGCAGTGATGGTTGGCATAATTAGTTGTGGGGTTTTAATGAAGCAGAGATATCCAGTTACAGGGGAACAGAGCCTGCTGTAGGATAAATGAGCAGGAGTAAAACCCCAACAAAATAAAGAAGGGAAAAATAGCCTCTGTCATTCCTACCCCTCCTCCTTTTCAGGAGCACTTTTGGGGTCTTCTTGGTCACAGCCTCTTACAGGAGTCCCTTCTTCCTGATCCCATTCAGGGCTGCAGTTCTGTTCTCCTCCCTTGCCCCCTCTTTCCTTAAGCCAAGCCTGCCATACTTTTCCCTCCCTCCCCACACATAGCCAAGCTCTGGGTGAGCCCTGGTCTAGGTCAGTCCCTCCACAGATGCAGTTCCTCCCCAGGGAGGATGGTGAGCCCATCCAGGTGAAGAAGATGCTATAGCAAGACTCCCCCAGTGTTCACAGAGCTCCCTGGGCCCCTCTCTGACTCCTGAGTCAAAAGGCATATGGGAGAATCCTCCACTTTCTTCCCTATGGGGTCAGGGGCCTGCAGAGTGATCCCCCTGCCTCTTTGCAGAAGTAGAGAGCCTGTTTCATCTTCCTCCTACAGGAATTGCTTCTCTCTGGATTTGAAGTAATTTGATAATTTGCATTTCCAGCTCCGTGTGTTCTGCAGATCCTATTCATTTCTTTTACATCTTATTTTTTTTTCTTGGGTCTGTCTCTTGTCTTTTCTTTTCGTCTGTGTTCCATCCATGGGATATGCAGATAGCCCTCTTCCACGTAAGTGCCTCTTCATACCTCATTACCTGTTTCTAGAGTGTTAACATCTGCTAGTTCTAGTTTTTTAATTTAGTTCCAGTCCCTTTTGTCCCCTAGAGGCTGAAGTAGATCATGCCGACCGGGCCCTAACCACACTGACCTTAGTCTAGCTGTGCTCTTGTTAATGTCTGTAGGTTACTCCAAGAGGCTAACACTAGTCCTGTTTTAGAGCATGCAAATTTTTTGTCTTTTGAAATTGTGTTTATTTATTAATTTCTGTGTGTGATGATTACCCTGTGGCAACATTTTGCTGAGCCAAATGCGGTGGAGGTCTGCAAAGGGCCTCTGAATAAGGATATGGCATCGTCTCACCATTAGCCAAAAAAGTAACCACAGCCTCTTCAGGCCTCTATTCAGAATTCCTTCATGGGCACGAGAACCCAGAAGGTTTTTCACACTTGCTTTTAGGAGGTGAAAGGACTGAGCTCAGTTCACCTCCCTTTTCTGTCTGGCAGGTGGTAGCTGAAAGTCTGTAGGAGCATGGGTCGGGGACCCCACGCAGCATGAATGGGTTTGCATCACGGGTACCTCATGCAGGGGAGTTAAGCCCCCAGTTTAACTGGTGAACTCTGTTCTTTAGCACTAGGTTACTTGCAACATGTATTTCCATGTTTGGGAAAATCCACCTGTGATACAGGAGATCCGGTTCGATCCCTGGGTCAGAAAGATCCCCTGGAGAAGGGATAGGCTACCCACTCTAGTATTTGTGCCTGGAGAATCCCATGGACAGAGGAGCCTGGCGGGCTACAGTCCATGGCGTCGCACAGAGACAGACACGACTGAACGACTTAGCACACGTGCACAGAGCCAGCTGCTTAGTAGCAGTATTGCCAAGAATGAGGAAAGGGGGTGATTCTCCCCAAAAATGACATCCTGATTTTGTAAGCTGTAAGTAGTGGAACCGGAAGCAGGAGTAACAGGAGCATCTCTGCTGCTCCAGGAGCAGAACCGCAGTCCGGTTTCTACCTGCATAGATGTCCCCAGGCTTCACGTCCAGTGAGGCTCGGCTTCTTCCCAGGCTGAGCTCAGAAGGGTGGAGGGAAGTCTTCAGCAGCACATTCTTTTCATGGAACGCTCCTAGCTCCTAAAAGGCACTCAGGGAAGCTTATCTTTTTGAAATTTATTCAGAAATATTGCAGCACAGCAGAAACTAAGTAGCTCAGTGTAGGCATTCTGAGATGTTGAACAAGGGCTAAATCTACTCTCTCAGCAGAGTTGGTCCCTGAATAAGCCAGTTCTGGAAGGAGTCGGATAGAGTGGAGTGGGGATGGAGCTGTCAGTGAGGACTGACAGCTCTCTGCTCTGGGCCGACCGCTCAGCTCTGCCCTCAAAAGGCTCAAGGGCACCTTCCTCCTGGATCTTTAACCCGGTCCTCAGGCGCCCACTCCTCTGGATTTTACCCGTAAACAGAGTGAGACCTACCCGGTAACCAGGGTTTGAGTACTGAACCTGAGTAACTGGGTCTTGAACTTCAAAGGTCATAAGTAGTTTTCATTCGTTGCCAGTCCAGCCTTCTTTAAGGTGAGAACTTTTATGGCAGACACTGTTTTAAAAGCCAGTGTTTAATATTTTTTTAAAAGGAGACCTCTAAGTTTTGTTGTTTGTTATCTGCCAGTATGAAAATGGATGATTAACCAAGCAAGATTCCACGAAGTCCTTTGGAAAATGGTGGGGTCAGTCATTCATTCCAAGTCAGTCATGAGTAATGCAGCAGCAGGCATTGCTAGTGACATGAAAAGTCAGTTTTCTCAATCACCTAACTAAGTTATGGTTTAAAGAATTAAAAAGCAAACCTCTTTTAGACAAAGAGAACATGGCACTGTTTTAGAGTTGAATATGAATTAGAAAGCAAACCTCTTTTAGACAGAGAAAGCATGGCACAGTTTTAGAGTTGAACATGAATTAGAAAGCAAACCTCTTTTAGACAAAGAGAACATGGCACAGTTTTAGAATTGAACATGATTTTTTTCTAGAACTTGAGCAGGGTTAAGAGATGATTATACTGTCTCTAACGTTGATCGTTATGGTCTTTCCTCACACCTCCATAACCTTCCTAGGGTTGAAGTGAGGGTCTTGCTCAAAAGGTAACCTGTTGTGCCTAAACCCATCCTGAGAAAAAGTTACAGTTGGAAGGAAGATGGCAGCATTTCCCACTGCCAGGACACAACCCAATTACTGCTGCTAGGAAGTGAGGATACGTTTTCGGAAGGACCTTCTCTGAGTTCTCACTCCCATTCCTTGAAAGGCACAAAGGTTATCTGAACTTAAACAAGATCAGCCATCTGGCTGCAGGCTTACACCAAGCCCAAGAACCAGGGGCATCTGAGGCTGGCTCATCTCACCCACGGACAGTGCATTCACCTCCTGTGATGCTGGGATACAGATACACAGACTGCTTCGGTGGCCCTGGAGGTGGGCCCTGAGTACACCCTCAGGTCTGAGGAAGAGACAGGTCAGGGTCAGGAGGAGCTGGCACCCTGCACAGAGTTGCTGCTCCTAGCCCCCTGAGTTGGGAGGTGTAGGGGAGAGCCATTTGCTCATCACTTGAAGTTGCTTGAAATGTCTCAATATTAGGGTCGCTTCATGATTCCTTAATGGTCTCCGCCGCATTCAGGGGCATGAATATGTCACAGCAGAGATGAGCAGGTGAAACTAGATAATACCACCAGTATCTCAAGGACTCCTGCTTTGGAACTACCCAGTTAGAAAGCCTGGCTTACCTGCTTCTGTGAAGGCAATGAAAGCCGAGGCTCCAGTGGGACAAATGGAACTCCAGCCTGGGAAGATGTCCCTGTTTCATGTATTTCGAGGCCAGGTGTCTGCATGCTGTCAGGAAGCTCTTAGGTGGAAAGCTCACGACCTCTGTTTGCCCTGGGAGGGGCTGCTTCCTTCTTAGAGCTACTAAAGGCCTAAAGAAGTGACATGATAATTTATTATGACTCTTTACTCCATGGATGAACCACACACCTTCAGAATCTCATTGCCTGAATCTTACCTCTTCAATTGCTTCTGTATCGTGATGTGAAATAGACAATTTCTTACAGGGTATAAAGATTATAAATGAGTCTCTACTTTTCAAAAGCGGCATCTTGAAATTTGTAATTTCATATTTTTCCCCTTAGATGGCACATGGCAAATATGTTAATGCATTGTAATATATTGTGATTAAAGTATATAAAACCCCATCCCTCAGCCAGAATAATATGGACAACTGTACACACAATTAACCCCCCCCCCAAAAAAAATAAAAGAGAAAGAACTAGAGAAAGAAAGATACACACTTTTATCAGAATTAACCAGGCTGCCAAGTCATGATGAGTTAGTAGCCTGTCTTGCTCTGGTTCCAGTGACATTGTTCTGGATGGTTTAATGAGGTACCCTCATCTAGAAGGTAAGAGAAAGACCTTACCATGAGTGTCAAGACAGTGTTGGAGATAGGGTGACGTTTTTCCAAATTTTCATCTAGCTCTCAAAGGGGCCTGTTTTCTGTGATTGTTGATGAAACAGCTTCTGAATATTTGCCATTGAAAAATTAAAGATCCACTCAGTGTCCAAAATGTCTCAAACACACCAGTTTTAAAGGTTCACTATGCAGAAAGCTGGTTAGCATTACTTGGTTAGTCCTAGTCCCTTCAAAGTGCCCTGGCTCAATGTTAATTTGCTTGGTCCTCTGCACACACGGCAGCAGCCAGAGCATCACATTTCGTAGGGTTTGGAGACAGCGTTGGCTGTCGTACCATCCAGATCGCAAACCATCCCCACCTCGCCCAGTCACAAGCTTTAAGGAAGATGACTGTTTCTGTCTTATCAGGACCTTAAAATCAGAGAGTGATGCACACACACACTTCGCTATAAACATGTGCTGTCTGTGTAGGTGTCTGCCTAAGTGTAAACACATGAAGAGGTCAGTAACTTCATGGCCAAGGTCATTTTTCCCTTTTCTGTTGGTTCACCTTAAGCTGGGGGCCAGGTGTCTTTCCCCCAGACGTCTGGTCCTATGGAGACAGCTGCTGAACTGCCTGTGTGTCTTCACAGGGTTAGAGAGCCCCAGAGCTGTTCCTGGGCAGGCGCACAGGCTCAGGGTTTGAAGTCAGAGAGTCCTGCTGTAAGGAGCTGTAGGCCCCCTGTCCTCCTGCATGGAATTCTTCTTCCCACTGCAACTCACTTCAGCTTCTCCTACTGACACCCCTGGTTTGCCTCTTCCATTTTTCCCTTCAGTGTCTGTGTGCCTCAATGATCTTTTTTTTTTTCCCTTTTTTTTCATCTTCATTTTTCTTTCCTCAGCGGCTCCTGCTAGCTCTTCCACCCCTGTTCCACTGTCTCATCTGGATAGTGAGTATCATTTCCGTCTTCCATCTCCCTGCAGGTGGCTCTCTGCCGGCCACAGTGTGTCTGACTGGCATGATCTCCTCCACCAGGTGATAATTCCACTCTGTTGGTGGAGAGGAGCGCTGGGTTTTAGAGGAGCAGATGAGATGAGATGTAGGCACAGGGCCACTCAAGATTCAGGGGGGGCAGCCACGCCCCCCAGAGAAGGCGCATGGAAAGCATTGCTTGGGACAGAAAATCTCGCAGGCAGGCTCCCAAAGGCTGTGGCAGCCCCAGCCCTGTCCTCCAGATTCGTAGTCAGCTGATTATTTAGAGAAGCCAAACGATTTTGCCAAGAAAAATGTCAATTCCACAGGGTCATAAGAAATGTTTGGGGTGTTATGTTTTCACCCGGCATTTTAATTGGCACAGTTGGGTTCAGACGTTGAAATTAGATGGCAAGGCCTGTAGCTTTTGCTGTCTCCATAACTGCATACATTTCTTGTAAATATTTGTGGGAGAAGAAACAGTGCCTGCTTGCAGATGTGCCTGGCAGAAGGCATTAAGCAAATCATTTAACCCTTTACAAGGGAACCTTGCTTTTCTCTTCTGCTATACAGGAGACGTCATCACACCCCACTCCCAGATAACAACAAACCTAGGGTTTCTCAAGTTATTTGCCCCCTTGGGAGCAGTGTCACCAAGCCTGGCAGTGGTGTTACCTGGTTAGCCTCCAGCTTTGTCACTGCGTCTGACCCTCCCTTATTTACCACCTCGTTCCACTGGGCTGCCCTGTCCTCCTGTTCCCCTGAGTCCTCAGGAGTGGGAGCACCCCAGGCCTCCCACTGTTTGCAGTGATGAACGCAGTGCTCCTAGGGGAAAGATCAGGGAGACAGCAGCTGAGCAAGACCCAGGATGTCATGGCAGCCAGTGCTCACCGCAGTCAGTGCAGCAGGCCAGGCCGCTCAGCTGGCCGTATCCCTGTGGTGCATCCTTGGTGCATCCTCCCTGCGTCCTCGGGAGTGACCAGTGTCCCAAACCCAGAGCCCTTGGTGGCGTCTGTCTGACTTGGAAACAGCCCTCCACTCTTGCACTGCTTTCCAGGCAGTGAACTTTAGCAATGAGGATTCAGCAACCAGGTTCAGCTCCAAAATCCACTGCTTTGGCATGCAGTTCCCTGACCTTGAATGAGTCACTCCACCTCTCTGAACCTCAGACTCCTTATCTCCCAAAGGAAGGATAGAGTCTGCTTACTTTGTAGGTATTTATGAAAATCAAAGTTTAAGTAGGAGAAATACAAGACACAATACCCAGCATGTAGTAGCTGGAATTCACAGTAAGAATAAATAAGAGTTACATTATTACTTGCCATCTGAGACTAATTTGTCTGCAAAATCTCTGATAATCTCTTTAAAATATCTGCATTCATACTGATAAATCAGGGAAGAAGGAAATGAGAGCATACCTCCTTTGCCATCTCTTTTTTCTTTGTAATAATGCCTTAATATATATACGCACATACATGTATGTGTACGTGAATTTATCTCTGTTCTCTCACCTTTCTGTGCCCTTCCATCCTTCATGTTTCCATAGCAACCTGGCCTCTTCCTGCCCTCACCACCACTGAAGCATCTAGTGAGTACAGAGCTTAGCTGCCCTGGGCCTGACTGCTGCTTGTGTAGAGTGGACTCTTGGGTCCCAGTGCTGCCCCGGCCCCCTGAGTGTTGAAAGCAACAGTTGTGCATGCTCGGAGGTGCCTCTCCTGCTGTGGGTCCCTACGCGTGCTGTCTGCCCCGCCAAGACCGGGGTGGTTCTTAAAGAGAGCTCTGTGCACAAGGCGGCCTTTCCAAATTTACCCGCAAGTTAGAAACAGAAAAGGGTTAGAAGTGCTGGGAAGACAGAAGGAGAGCATCTCTTCCCAGCTTTCATTGTCTCTCCACCTCAGAGCTGTGCGCCCACACAGACACACACAGGCACACACGCAGAGACACACACACAGAGACACACGTGCACACACAGACACACACACAGACACACACGCAGAGACACACACAGAGAGACACACGTGCACACACAGACACACACGCCGAGACACACGCAGAGACACACACAGACACACACACCGAGACACACACAGAGACACACGTGCACACACAGACACACACACAGACACACACGCAAAGACACACACAGGCACACACGCAGAGACAAAAACACAGAGAGACATACATGTGCACACAGAGACACTGATACACGTGCACACACAGACACACACAGGTACATGCAGAGACACAGACACACACACTCACACAAACACACACGCATGTGCACACACAGAGACACTGACACACGTGCACGCATGGACACACACAAACACACACGCAGAGACACACACACGGGCACACACGCAGAGACACAGAGACACACAGGCACACGCGCACACACACGCAGAGACACACACAGACACACACATGGGTATAAATGCAGAGACGCAAACACACAGACACACATGTGCACACATAGACACATGCAGAGACACAGGCACACATGCAGAGAGACACACACAGACACGCATGTGCACACACAGAGACACTGACACGTGCACACACAGACACACACATACAGAGACAGACGCATGCACGCACACACAGAGACACAGACACACCCAGAGAAACACAGGCACACAGAGACCCGCCACACACACAGAAACACACTCACAGAGAAATGCACACACAGAGACACACACATGCTCATACACACATTAAAATAGAATACCTGAAAGACTGAAAATATGGCAAGGACAAGGAGAAACTGGCTGCCCGGGGAAAGGGAGCAGGTGAGGCAGGAAGGAGCCTCTGCTCCTTGACCACACGCCCTCCTTTGCTCCTGCAGAGAGAGGACCTGTGTGCCCCGAGCACACGGGAAAGGAGAGGGGTGTCCCTCCCCCCTGGCCACCTCCCTTGTGCTAGAAAAACTATGGCCTGAGAAAGCACAGCCAGGCTTTCTCAAGTTTGTATGTTGAGAGTCCAGGTGAAAGTTCTGGAATCCATCTCCTAATGGTGGAGTCAGGGCCAAACTGTCCCATCTTTCCTGTCGTGGAAAACATTACACTTCGTCACAACCTGAAACATATTCTAAACTAGTCTTCATAGTGCTCTTAATGAAATGCATTTGTGTGTTAGTCCTGAAACCCCTGACAAGTCAGCTGGAGCATGTGTGTGTGTATGTGTGTCCATAGTTTTGTGTGAGTTTTAGATTTTATAATATTTCTGAGTACACAGGGAAAATGGCATGCATCCCATTAAAAGCAGTCAGAGCAGAAGGCAAAAAGCAAGAATACAAAATATGGCTCCCACTCCGCTCCGTGGGCCAGGGTTTCTGATGCATAATTGAACAGAGAAGAAAAGAGTTCCTGCGTGTTGCATGAAATGGTTCTTTTTTCTCCTGCAGAACATAGCTGAGGGTCTGCTTTCTTGGTGTTCCCTCCGTGTGCGTGCTGCAGTGAATTTTAATTCCTGATGCTTTTGAGGTTTCATTTTGTCAGCAGAGCAGGCAGGCAGCAATGAGCTGTGCTCGCATGGGTTTAATTCAAGTGATGGGTTTCTTTGCGTTTGGAAAAGGAATGAGACTAACAGCACCCTTTCTTCTGCTAACAGTGATGCCCCAATCCTTTGCATCTTGGGTGCAGTATGTATGCCATGCCGAGCATAGCGGGAAAAGGCTACACAATGTCCTTGCACAACTTGGGTTGTATTTAAGGTATCTCACTGTAGGTTGGTCTTCTCTGGAAGTAAAACACAATCTTGGATCCTGTTTTTTGTTGTGGAGGAATTAAGTGTTTCTCCCCTGATGTAGGTTTCATTTTTAAACATCAAGCATGTCTGCCCACAGATCGAATGATGAGTAGTGACGTCCAAAGAGAAGAAAGTTTGAGTCTCCTTTATTTTGAACCACTTGACTACTGACCCAAATTGTAAGTCCCAGTGGTTACTGGGAGAATAGAAAGACAGACTCGACTGAGCAGCAGCACGTGTTGAGCATGAATGTATTTTAAACTGCAAGGCAGAATGTAGCACATGTGAATTGCAGTGGAACTAACAGCAGAGTAGCTAGAAGCATCCAAAAATCTGCCGATCATTGGTCAATAGGGGTGAATATAAATAGTGTCTTTTGCTTTTTACTTTCTGTGTGTATGTGCGTATGGATCCATTTATAATCATGAGTGGATGAAGATACACTGCTGGCTCAGACAGCAAAGAAACTGCCTGCAATGCAGGAAACCTGGGCTTGATCCCTGGGTCAGGAAGATTCCCTGGAGAAGGGAATGGCTACCCACTCCAATATTCTTGCCTGGAAAATTCCACGACAGAGGAGGCTGGCAGGCTACAGTCCATAGTGTCGCAAAGAGTTGGACATGACTGAGTGACTAACACTTTCACTTTCAAATAGAAAAAGGAGAAACTGCTCAGTTGTGTATAATCCCTGCAGGCAACCCATGGTTGGAACATGCCAGATCCTATGCAGCGTCAGACAGTGAGAAGCAAATGCTATACCAGCTCGCAGTGGCGAGAGCCCTCACTTGATTGAAGCATTTCTCTCGAATCACTTTTAAACAGTGATGTGCTTTGGGCAGAAACGAATCTTCACCTTGCCTCTCTGTCCGCCTTGTCTCTTAGTTAGCTTCTACTGGTGACAGCCAAAATGCCCTTTGGCCTGTGCAAGTTATGGTGGGGAACCCAAAAGGCCTTTAGAAGAAACACAGTCATACAGTAAAAAATCAGATGCAAATAGAACACAGGTCAAAAGGGAATGTAGACATATCCAAAGAAGAAAACTACTTTCATTGTAGAAATCACATTCATGTCTTATCCGTTCACTGCAAGTCTAAAGAGATGACTGTATCCACAAATGCCCAAGAGTGTGTCTGATGTCCAGCTCTTAGCTCGTGGGGCCAGCGGTTTAGTTTCTTTCTTCGACAGAGCTCTGACCTCAACCCCCAGAAGGAAACCTATTCCCTTTCCTCACTGGCCTCTTTTTTTTTTTTTTTTGCTAGAATCTTTATTATACTACTTCATGGTTCTTTACGTTTTTATTTTACTTTTTATTGATGTATAGTTGCTGTACAATATTATAAGTTGCAGGTGTACAATAGAATGATTCACAGTTTTAAAGGTTATACTCCTTTTGTAGTTATCATAAAATATTAGCTATATTCCCAGTGTTTTACAATATATGCTTGTAGCTTGTTTTAAACCAAATAGTTTATGCTTCTTCCTCACTGGTAACCCTTGTGCTAAGTGAAATAAATCAGACAGAGAAGGACAAATACTGTATGATGTCACATATATGTAGAATCTAAAAAATATAGCAAACTAGTGAATATAGCAAAAAAGAAACAGACTCACAGATGTTGAGAACAAACTAGCGGCCCCTCCTTTTGGATGTGTCTTGATTGGGGTATGTCGTGGCGGCCCTTAGATAACCTGAATAGATGACTAGAGAAGTAAGTTGAGATTCCTGGCCACCTTCTCTGCCTACACCCAGCAGACCTCACTCGGTCCACACCCCCTCCTCGTTGCTCTAAAGGACACATGAAATGACTTTTCTTAATGTAATATGATATTTTATTCTTCCAGGGCACCCAATCATGGGACTCTTCCTTCATGACCATGTTCTGTTTCATTGCCCTTGCTTCCCAAGGATGCCGAGACATTTCTGGAATCTGTGAAGAATAACTTGCCTTTTTCTTCTCCTTCAACAGTCTCCTGGATTGACTTTGGCATCCGGGTCCTGACAGAGACAACTCCCCATTTCAAAACAAGTGTCCATGCTCCTTGATGTGGTATTAATATGCGGTGTTGCTGCTCTACCTAATGCTTAGCGGTGTTGTTAACCAAATGCTCTTTATGATTTATTAGTCTTCTATTTCTGGGCAGTTTTACTGCCCTCCCAATGTTTCCTATATATGCTGCTAATTTAATTTAATTTCTCCTTTTATTTAGTCTGTGATTTTGTTGTTGATTTTTCTCCCTACCCATTGTTTACATCAGTTTTTAATTTTTTTGTATTTTCCATGTGATCTCCTCCACTTTCCTTTCAACCAATCATGTGCGTGCGTATCATGTGACTTTGTCATGTGGCTTGCATGGTGCTGATGATGTCGTCCACGCTGGTGAACAGAAGGTAAAACTCTTTGTTCTGAATCATGAAATAAATCTGGGACCACAGCCTGGCACGTAGGGCCCACTCATTTCTTCCTGTCTCGGATTTCCTAAGCGAATTCATTTGAGAGATTTCCTCTTGTTCTCAATGCACGTCCAAAATTCATCAACCTTTGGAGCCTTTATGATGACAATTTGATACCAAGACAGCCTTCAATTTAATGTTTTGTTTCAAGAAGTCTGGCTACAGTAAAATCACTTTAGCCACAGCCGAATTTGCACCCTTGAATTTTTACCAGATAGTTCATAAACTTTATTTCCCAGAAAGCAGTGTTGTAAGTGAGCTTTATAACATGGTTATCTCACTTAATCCAGTAGTACTCCAAAGCACAGTTATTATAAAATGTCACATTTCCATGAAAATATAACATTGAACACCTACAGAGAGAAATGTGTCCATCACAAAGGTTGTATTTGCTCGAAACCAGTGAGAGTGTTTCGTAAAATTCATGCAGATCGAGGACTTTCTGAAATGAGAGATTTAAGAATTTGGAATTAGAGCAGTTTGGCTGTAATGGCCAAGGTATCACTTTGCAAGTGACCTGCCACCCGCCCCAGGCAAGAGGAAAGAAAAATCAAAGCAAAAGTCATTTAACAATTACCATGACTGATGATCACCATGTAATCCAAAAGCACACCATTGACCCTTGCAGCAAAGGAAATAAACTTATAGCCTGATTAAGCTCAAAGGAGTGACAAAATAATTCGTTAATATTGTGACTGTCACAATCCTGTGAAAGCATTTCTTGCTTACCATGACGGGAAAATGAAGCCTCTGCTCACAGCTCCCCCCCCCAACCCCGAGTAAAATCAAACACCCATTCAAACCTGCCCTGGGAGTCACATGCGTGCCATTCCCTCCTAACTGGAAATTTGTACTTCACATCACAACCTGAGACACATACCGGCTGCAATGGTCACGAAAGCGAGACTAACACCAGTAACCCCCCAGGGTGCCCGTGCATGCGAGGGGTCCCCGGCAACCTCGCTTCTCGGAGAGCTGATTGGGCGACATCCACACGAACAAAACCATCGGCCGCTCGTCTCGCATGTGCTCTGTCCCTGGTCTGCCCCGTGTCCCGTGCACCCCAAGCGTGTGAACCCTGTATGTGGCACCCCTCACCCTCCACACTGACCCCTGTGAGGACTTCAGCTCTCTGGGCATGGCCACAGAGCCCCAAGTCAGTCCCATTTACAGCCAGACTCCTGGACAGGATCTTGGATGGGAGGGTCCTCTTCTCCAAACAAGAGGATGTTTAGCATTTACATTATATGAAATAAAGGAGGATGTCCCCAAAGCTTCCCAGCTGGCTCTGGCAAAGAATCTGCTTGCCAATGCAGGAGACACCGGTTCAATCCCTGGGTCGGGAAGATCCCCTGGAGAAAGAAATGGCAACCCACTCCAGTATTCTTGCCTGAGAAATCCCATGGACAGAGGAGCCTGGTGGTCTACATTCCACAGGGTCTCAAAAAGTCAGACACCACTGAGCACGCATGCATGGTCCCAGGTGTGGTCCCCAAGTCAGGGAACCTCTGTTATGCTAAGAACTTGGACCTAGCTTAAAAAATTACCTTGATCTGTGAATCTTAAGGCAGAAGAGAAAACACTGGGAGCCTACAATTGTCTAAACACCAAGTCCCACTCCGAAAATGTGGTTTCAAGGGAGACAGTCAGTTTTCAGACTTGAGATGACTGCTCAGATGCTGAACCTTGTCCCTAAAAGCTAAAGTATGAGCATATAACTGTATTGAAACCTTAGTTTCTTCTTTAAACCCAAGTTTAGTCATTTCTGTGCAATGCTGTGATTCAGAATGAAGCGCAAGATAGAAGCTAATTCACACCTCTGAGGAGCTATCTCTTATAGACATTTTAAGCAAGGCTAGAAATGTTGGAAGGTGTTTCTCTCAGCTACCCTTAGCTGTGGTCTTGGCTGTCAGTAGGAAATGTGACCAGTACTAAAACACTGGGAGACTGTGGAATTCCAAAGTGTGATCACCCCCTCATCAAATCACCCCTCTTCTGCCTTTTGCAAGGGGGCAGGCAGAGGACTGTTACTCAGATGAGCAAGACACAGCAGGAAATGGCCCTTAGTAATAGGATGGAAGGGAATGGAGAAGCTGGAGCAAATAAACTTTTCAGGGGAGAGAAATAAAACTTAGTTAGGGATGGTTCCTCTAGGCTTAAGTGAGGCTTTCAGGTGAGTTAGGCCTAATGAAAATGGTTTAAGTGAGCAATGGGTAGGTTGTACACCCACAAATGATTAAACTCAGTGTCCACTACCCTCCACCACCACCCCCCACAAATTGCCTAGGATGTGTTTAATGTATGCTGGATGTTCTGTGTTCCTTCAGTTTCCATCCAGAAGAGGAGAGATGAACAGAGGCGTTGAGCGCCAGCCCTGGGCCACTTGGACCCTGAGCCCACAGAACTCTGCAGGCAGGGTCCATGACAGGGAAGCTCAGACGCATGGCCCAAAGGCACAGGCATGGGTTTGCTGGAAGCAAAAATTTGAGCCCCCTGATGTCAAAGTTTATTTCTAATATCACAGCATCACGTGACTGCGGGGCCTGCTTCCTCTGGTGACTCCATCAGTACCGAGGACTCTGTGTAAATGGGACTCCCCTCCCCACCAGCATGTGTGTGATGAGAACGCCCCCTGCACCCTCCCCACCTTCCCGTTCGCGTGCCGCATGTCTGAGCATGGATCCCTCCCCACCCATTTATAATGATCTTTTTTTCTTTAGCTACTGACACTGACTCGTACTAGGAAATGCTGATTCTGATGAACTAAACTCTTTTAACACCCACTCTTCCTTCTTAGATTGAAAACATCACTAACCATCCCTTCCACCCCCTCCTTTATTTTTTACAGCTGTGTGTCTGGATTGCCACGGTCTCTGGCAGGTCGACATAGACTTTTCACCAGGGGTTCTGTTCTAATTGCCTTTATTCCCAAGGATTCCCTGCACTGGTGGTTACCAGGGTAGAAAGCTAGCGTGAAGGGACCAAGTCAGTGACGTATATCAGCCCGAATCCCGTGGGCAGAGACAGGGGGCCATGGAAAGTGACCATTTCCCTGGGGTTAACCAGGAGGAGGGTTGAAACCTCCCAGGAGCCTCTTACTTCTTCATAACTCACCTAACGTCCATGAAGCACTGTTGGAGGTGTTCACAACCCCCACCCCGCTTTGTGGCCTCGGAGGCAGGAGCCGAGTTAATTGGTGGTGATGGCAGTTATTTCTGTCTTTAACTTCCTCAGCCTGGATCAGCCCCATAACCACAAGCCATACCTTCGTGGTCATATTTTCTTTTTAGGATGATGAAACAAAGATAATTGATCAATTAATCTGTTGGTGTTTTCATGACACCCACGAGAAGGGATTTGGTATTTTTGTGGTTCGGTCTGTCAGAGTTCATTTATTGCTGTTTAATTTGTCCTCGGTACTGCCAAGCCTCCCCACCCTGCCCCCAGCGCTCATTCACAATTCCCGAGAAAACTCACGCTGGAGAGCTCTGTGGACTGGGTGCCTCTGTGAGCGTGGCCACATAGAGCCAAGCATCTTGCCTCTGTAGAAACGAGGGAGCTGGCCACACCCATGCCCACTCGTTCTGTGCCCCAGCACTCCTCAGGGCCAGGGACCAGGATGACACAGGGCCAGGTCACAATAGCGCAGTGAATCCCTGACAATTAGGAGAAAAGTGTTCAGGAGAAAAAGAATGCTTTCCTCCGAAGGCCTGATTTGGGGGAGCAGTGCTTGAGACAAATCGATGCCAACCCATGCGCTGCCAGCTGCTCTTTGGGTGTGAGAAAACCACCTCTGAATAGAATGGCCAGGTCTGCTGCCATCAGGGAGATTTTGAGGCTCCAGAATTGTGTGTGGCATAGATCACATTGATCTGTTTGACATTAGGGCTAAGAGGTTGGTCTGAGGAAGGAGAATTAGTGGTCTAATAATTAATCCTGATTCCCTTTGATAATTTGCTGATCCCCCTAAGGCCCATTCAAACTTCTGACCTCTTGGTGTAATTTTGAATATTCCTGAGTTGAAAAAATCAAATAGGCATCACATCAAATCAGCTGCATCATACATTTTGGACTTCTTAAAACCAACAGTTTGAAATCACATATAAGAAACAATCAGAAAGGGGGAACAGGCATTAGGATAAACAGAGAAAACAGTATTTTTAATGCCAGGCAATCTTCTTTGATAGTAAAAGATTCTCATGCAGGCCTTATGCCCATCTTTGGGTTTTCTCAGAAGCCCCTGTGGGGGTCTGAGGGGTGAAGAGAGAACCCAGGTCCAGCCTGACTCAGGGAGCCCGGTCAGCCAGTTAGCATTTCATTCAGAACATACAACTCTAGGTTCTTGAGCTCTTTGAGTGAGAAGTAGAATATTGTTTTCCTTCCAGAATTCACAATTGCTGTTCAGAGGCCCTAGGCTTGCTAGAATTTTTGTTGTGGGATTCAGCTATCCAGCAGTAGTTTGCTGATCCCAGGGCTTCTGCTGACTCGGGGAAAGACATGAAGCTGACTCTGATTTTAGGGCCCAGTAGCACCGTAATTATAAAGAAGAACCTACAATCTGCATGGCCAGAAATACACATCTCAATTATGGTTTCTAAGGGGAATTTATAGGACCTGCCAGTAATATTTTTGACTGTATGTGGTCTCTCTGGTACATTCTTTTTTGTTTTATTTTTTTTTCCCTTGCATACATGATATGCATTCTTCTAGAAAATACCAGAACTGCCTGATATTTTATGTTTGTTATCGACAAGGTTTATTTTTACAAACACCGCTGTTTTAGTCTTTACGTAAAATATTTGGGGGAAAAAATTTGACTCATGGTTAAAGCTAAACTCAGAGGGTATAATTAACCCCAGGGGTTTTCTCAGAGCCACCTGCCGATTGCTGCTGAATTGCAAACCAACATTTACAAATAATTACAATATTGGTTTTGCTGAAATTACCCATAATGATTTCAATCAGAGCAACCATCTCGGAACAGAGTGCATGTTGAGACCCTCTAAATAATTTCCTCTCTTAATGTGTTCAGTAAAGCAGCCAGCCTCCTAATGCAGGCCCGTTTCTTTGGCGTCCCTCATCAGGCAGGGCTGGAACACTGTCTTTGCAGAGAGCTTAGGAAATCGTTTCTTTCACCCCATTTCTAATCTTTAAAAATATTGGCTCCAAATGAACATTTGAAGACGAATAAGGCAACTGATTAAACAAATATCACTCTTTCCACATCTGTGTGTACTGACAGCAAGTTGTGTGGCCATAAAGTTGGTCATAATCTCTATGATATTAGTTCAATAGGATCTTCCTTTAGAAACACCATCATAGGAAAAATTAGATTTCTGTACAAGGGCCCCACCATTCAAAGAACTGAATAAGAATTGAGTAAGTTTTTTCATTTTAGCAAACAAAATCTTGTTTTAATCACCACTGAAACTCAAATACCTAATGGACTACATGGTACCTAGTAGATACGAAATGTGCATTTGATGAATAAATCATCTTTAAAGCACTCTAAATGATGTAATATAGGAATGTCCCTGTCGGTCCAGTGGTTAAGACTCTGTGCTTCCACTGCAGGGTTAGATCTAACCACATTAGATCCCTGGACGGGGAGCTAAGACCCTCATGCCGTGTGGTATAGCCAAAAAGTAAAAATTAAATAAATACATGATATGATATGATATGATATGATGTGATATAATATGCCCTGAATTCTATGAGAAAGCAATACATATCAGAGTTCCATGATAGTCACTCAAATAAACTGATGGCAAATTATAGTGTTCTGACTCCTGTAGATGTTAGAATTGTGTTCCGTGGTATAGTTTTGAGTGGTTTCTGTGTAATTCCCTCTATATTTTTTTCTGAAACAAATCCAAACGTAGGAGCAGGTCATTAGGGCTTTTGGTTTTCACAAGGTTTCCTTGGCAAGATTTTTGTTCACATATCTTTGAAGACTTTTAGGGTCTGTTTTTTCAAAGCCAGGAGCTTTTGAAATGACTTTTTTTTTAATTTGTAGAAAAATGGGCAATCTTGTGCCAAAGAGATATGGAATTGTTTATCATGGGATACATTTCCCTAAAATTGACTGTACATCCTAGATTTGGTGTCCTATATTTTTACGGCATCATGAACGCAGCCAGGGTGTTCTTGAGTGCTCATCCTAGCACAGTGACTGTCACAGTGTTGTCAGAATAAGAAGGAGCCCTTGGGAGCATCTGGTGTTTTGCAAACCTGGAGACTGAGGTGGTGAGCTGGCCAAGGCAGTAAACCCCCTGGGCTCGACTGTGGCCTCTGTAGCATTCAGTTCTAAAGGGATCTTCAGGGCATCGAGCAGCCCCAATGGAATAATCTCTCTTTCCCTTCCTGGGAGATCTCGGGGGAGGGACAGGTCCTTGCCTGGAGGGTATGTTGGAAGGGCCACTGATGCCACCTCCTCCTTTCCTTCTTCAGGCAAAGAGATCATTAACCACAGAGTCAGTGTTACAATTCTGAACCCAGAAAGATACTATGATTAATGTAAGTCTTCATTCAGTCCAGGGTCACCAACATCCCATTTCACCTGAGACTAAGGGTTTGTCCAGGGGAAAGGACTTGCAGTGCTAGCGCCTGGAAAGTCACAAGCTAACCAGGATGCAGTGGATTCAGTGAGAAAGTAGAATTTGTAATGTTCTTCTGCATCTCCTACGTCATTGTTCAGCATTGGTGAATCTACAGACTTCCATCCCTACTCTAAAATATACTCCTCTTAGAGTCTCTTTTTTAGCACTGAATATGTATGATGGGGCATAAGGCATAATTAATTATTGTCTAAGATGTATAATGGTCCAAAAGTATTTGAAAAGCATGGACACCTGGACATTATCCAAACAGAATTTCTAAGTATTTTCCACTGAATAATTGGTGCTGGTGGCTAGACAGTGGTGTAAAAACAGAACAAGTCTATCTGAAGCCCATTTATCTTTTTGTTTTTCTTTTTCCTTAGTCACTGATTAAAGGAAGCGAATCACAAGCACAACTTTTCGTAAATACTTTATCCCACAGACATTAAGACTACACAGCCTCCCTGTTGCCACTTTTTGTAGCCCCGTGTCTAGTAGAGGTGCACCTTGCAATCCTGTTAATTGAGCTTCCAGGAGGTGTGCAGGGGCCCTTCCAGACCGAGTGGCAGGGGGCTCTCGTCAGTTTTGTCTCTGGTTCCTCCTGGTCTCAAAGGGAAAAGCAGCCCCCTCGGCCATCATGAGGTTCCCAGCGTAACTGTGTGAGTTGGGTGGGTGGGGTGGCCTTACCAAGCAACATACTTGTGGGCGATGAGGTCCAAAGCCTGGTGACAGGCATCCCCTGGCTCTTCTGTCCCATGTCTGAGATTCTGTCTTCCAGAGAACAAGCCAGGACCACCCACCCAGAAAGTAACTGTTTTATAGGCTCTGCAAATCTTCTGTCTGAGGTCATGAAATAGGTACAAGAGATGGTTTCCACCAGAAGTGCCAGGGTTCCAAGTGTTTGAAATCTTTTTAACTTTTTATAACAGATGTTCTGTCATCTCATGGCTTTCAACATAGACTAATGAAATAGTTTCTCTTAAAATAAATTAGCATCTTACAGGAGAACCATCCTAGCCCTCAGAATTGGTCACATACAAACTCATCTTTCTTCTCAACCTCGGATTCTCAGTGTTACTGCAAAAAAAATAGAGAAACATTAACTTTTTTCTGTTGAGAAATGCTGAAGACATTTTTTTCCCTCTCTTCTCACAAAAAGACTTTAATGATTGTTCCATTAATACAAGGCACCAAGGATTATCACCAAGGCAGTTGAGCCATAAATGCAGAATACTTACAGGAAACTTGCCTATGGCAAATCATGCTTTACTTAATCACAACTGGAAACCTGTTGTTTTTTTTTAATGAATCTCAGTCATAAAATTTAATTCATGCAAAAGCTGGTCACAAGAATGCAGCATCATTCCACTCCTGTTAGGAATTAGACCCCTGGAATGGATCATATATCCCAGGGGAGAAAAAAAAAAAAACTGCTTTGAAAAATTATTTTATGGGTGTCAGTTTTCTCCTTAAATGCCTACATTTTCCCATATTTCAGGCTGTTCCTCAGAATGTACCAGGTTTATAAAAGTTAAATCTGCAGCTGTAAGAACAGCTAACAGAATATACAAGCACCAGGAAGAGACAGACCAAAAAAAAAAAAAAAAATCCTCTCTTTAAAATGGTGAAAGGACTATACTAGGAGGGAGGGTGGTTTCCCAGAACATTTCCAAAAGGCGTTCTCAGTTTGGGTTAAGACTGAGGCATCTAACTGGAATTCAAAGTTTTACATGTTTTGCTTTTTAACCATCTGAATTGCTGAGAAATCAAGAGTCCAGCCCCACTCCATCACTGCATCTCATTTTGATGGATTGGATTTTCATTTTGTGGATGAAAATATCATGTGAATTCCCTGGCTGTTTCAGGGGAACCCAGCGCACCTAAGCTCGAAGGGCAGATGGGAGAGGATGGAAACTCTATTAAGGTGAAGCTGATCAAGCAAGACGACGGCGGCTCCCCCATCCGACACTACCTGGTCAAATACCGAGCGGTGAGCAGCCTCCTTCCTGGGTTTCCTGCAACCCCACAACCCTAACACCCGCCCTGTTGGACCAACAGTGTCTTTAGAGCAAAGGGGCAGGGCAGCCCATGTGCCTGGCCGGTGGCCCAGGGGCCCAGGTTAGGGTTTTAAATCCCAAGATTGACCTAGAGCCTTTAGGTCATATCCACACTGAGACTATTTTATTTTTTTTTTCAATTCTCTATTTTTTTTTAATGATGTATAGTTGATTTACAATGTTGTGTTAATTATTTCTGTACAGCACAGTGATTCAGTTATACATGCATACATTCCTTTTTTATATTCTTTTCCATATGGTTTATCATATGGTATTGAATATAGTTCACTGTGCTATATATGGGGCTTTCCCCATGGCTCAGCAGTAAACAATCAGCCTACAATGCAGGAGATGCACAGGAAACAGGGGTGGTTCAACCCTTGGCTTGGGAACATCTCCTGGAGGAAGAAATGGCAGCCCGCTCCAGGATTCTTGCCTGGAAAATTCCATGGACAAAGGAGCCTGGCAGACCACAGTCCGTTGGGGTCGCAAAGAGTGGGACATGACTGAGCATGCATGCACACACGTGCTATATACAGAGTGGACAAACACACTGAGACCATTATAAAACCGCTGCAATGATTTGGGTAATGATAAACCCACCCATGACTGAATTTTTCTGCTTCCTAGGTTTTCCTACAAAATTATTTTGCCATCATTCAGTACTTTTTTGCAAATAGCATACTGATAACCTTGGATCACACTTGGATAAAATGTGTTATGGGCCAGGCATGCGGGCCCATGATCACATACATTTTCTCCCCCCCAAGAACCATATAAAGTTGATCTCAACAGTTATCCTCACTTTACAGAGAAAGTGAGTGAGGTTTATGCAGTTAGTGACCGCATGTCTCACACAGTCAGGCAGCCGGGGTTTGAATCTAGGTCTGTCTGACTGAAGAGACAGGGGTCTAAGCCCCCTGGCCCAGGCTGCCTCAGCTCCTGAACCGTCTCCTTCCCTCACTTTCCCTCCACACTAGTGTAGCCCACCCGACCTGTGGTCATGCCGCTACCCATGAGCTTGGCCCTAGCCTTTTCTCTTCCTGGTTCGCCCACTGCCCATCAGAGATTTCTGACATTCCACCTTTCATCCCCAATGCCCAAACTGAAAATCACCCCCTCTTTTTTTTTGGTCTTAGAATGAGACTTGACCATTGCCAACCACAACCGATTGCTGGGAGATTTAGAGACAGCATCTGAGCATTGCAAATAGCCTTTTGCTAGGATTTCTTGACAGTAGAAAATAACCTGAGCAGAGTTTTCTTTCTTCAAATAGCACCCAAGAAAGGCTTTTTCCAAAAAGTTTGACTTAACTCCCTCTCTGGCTTTTGATCAGCCCCCACGGAAGGACCATGGGAACCCTAACCTGGTTAGGTTTGCAGAGAGTCAGTGCAGCACAGAGCCCCCCACACACACACCCTGGGAACACGTCCCAGCCGCTGGGCTGCCTGTCAGTCACTCAGCCCCCTCCGACTTTATTGCAAGGCCGGGTTGGAGCCTGACCTGGGGGAGGAGCCTCAGTTGACTTCTGTAAGGCCCGGCCCAGAGGAGGCATCACTGGCTGAGAGGTCCCTGTGATGTCCTCAGTGTGGAATAGGATACAAGGACTGAGCAGGTGGCCCCATGGAAACCGCTGGAAGGAGACAGTGTGGTGGGGGGATGCCTCTGGCACTTGGACTGATGTGGCCCAGACAGACAAGGAATCCAATTCCAGCCTTATCACTTAGTACCCTGTGCCCCAAGTTGGTCACCCAATGGTCCATCACCTCCATTTCTCCATTGGTAAAATGGGGATAGCTTATCGAGTTGTTGTAAAGCTTGGTTAGAGTGCAAGCAAAGAACCTGAAACATGCCTGACACTGGGAAAACTCTATACCTGGTAACTGTAATAGCCACTGCTACCATGCAGGCTGGGTCAGGAAATACTTCCATACAAGGTCCCATCAGATGTCAATGGTCCAGAAGGGTCATTTTGGCAGTACCGGGCAGGTCTGCTTTAAAAAGACAGCCGGGGCAAAACACTGGGATGTGTTAGGCTTTGACCTTAACCATCCTCTCTCTTTCACCTCAAAATCCCAATTGTCGCTAAGTATTTTAATTATTATACATTATTAATATTTATTATGGAACATAATCTTTGCTTTATATTCTGGCTATCTCTTTTGCAATGATGTTAGCCAAGGAAAGAAGCCTTTCAGAGAAAGAGGACAAAAGACAAACAGCTGAATTTCTTTGTTTTTACATTAAAATGGGGCATGTGATCACTCTCTCAGGAACTAACTTAGAGCCCTAGGCAGGTAACCTGGCTTTCTGTTAGACTCAGAGGTTGTGAGCCCCACTTCCAGCATCTTCCCTACACTGTTGTGGCCACGACACGTGTGCTAACATGACCCTAAAGGCATCTCTGTGGCTGGTACAAAGCATTTTTCTTGGAAGATGGCTGGCTTTCCTGTGATGTAACTTCCTCCAGCCTCAGCCAAAGGCTAGCTCACCTTCCAGAGGACACTGCTAGCATGTTCTGCTCTTCTCAGGAGCAGCCCATCATCCAGTAGACATGTGTCAAGCCCTCCCACCCAGAACAAATTCACCGGCAGATGTGTAGGATAAGACTGGAAAGAACGTTCGCGAAAAGGGGGTCCCCTCTGACTCCAGCTTTGTGCCGGAAATTGTGTCCTGGGAGTGTTCTGCTGGCCTCTGCAGGTGCCCCTGCCTTGGACCTGACAGCCACACCTCAGCAACACCTGCAACGCCTCCAGCTGCAGTCTCAGAGGCCAGGTCACACTGCACGGAATAGAGACACCCTGTTCCCCGCAGCGTGTGTGTGTCCCGCTCCCTCCTGTGAGAGGATACATCCCCACTTGGGCCCAGAGGCACTTGCCTGCAGCTCGATTGCCCCTGTGGCTTTGGGAAGTCACCTGTTCTCTCTCCCCCTTCCCCATCATCAGCTTTAGTAAGGACCTGGCCAAAGCCCTCGCACGTTTGTTGTAGGGATGCAGTGAGAAAATGTGTGGAAAGCCTTCAGTCCAGGCCCTGGTATGTGGCAGGTGCTCCATAACTGATAGTTTTTAATGCTTTTCATAAAAGTGGAATCTGTGCCATGTTCCCATGTCAGGGAGGTGAGCACACACCTGAGTGTGACCCACATTCTAAAACAGGACAAGAATCACAGTTGTCAGATTATCCTCTAGGTCACCCTTAGGATGGGGCTTCCCGCCCGCCAGTGGAGGAGGCCTAAGAACCTCAGGTTCGATCCCTGGGTCAGGAAGATCCCCTGGAGAAGGGCGTGGCGACCCACTCCAGTATTCTTGCCTGGAGAATCCCATGGACAGAGGAGCCTGGGAGGCTCCATAGGGTCACAAAGAGTCGGACACAACTGAGTGGCTGAGCACAGATGCATCCCTAGGACATGTGCCCACCATTCCAGACTGTAGCCTGGGTCCCTGCAGGTAACAGACAGGGCATCAAAGGGTTGGCCCCATGCCACACTGGTGCTCTGCCACTGTTTTTATTTGCAAGCCCCCAAAGTTGACCTTCTGACCTGCAGGATCATTTACTTTCAGGTTTTTCAAGCTGCTAAAGAATAAAAACTATGCCCTACCACTGGTTTTTATTTTATTTATTTTGCCCCAATATTTAGTGACTCCCTTACATTCCTCCTGTTGGCTGGTCTCACCAGCTGTTTCACCTAAAGCTTTCTGGTGTCTTGTATCTTTCTTGCCGGTTTCTCCCAGAAGCTCTCCTCCGAGTGGAAACCAGAGATCAGGCTCCCATCTGGCAGTGACCACGTCATGCTCAAGTCCCTGGACTGGAATGCCGAGTACGAGGTCTATGTGGTAGCCGAGAACCAGCAGGGCAAGTCCAAGGCGGCGCACTTCGTGTTCAGGACCTCAGCCCAGCCCACAGCTATCCCAGGTATGACAGCTCTGCTTTCTGTGAGTTTCCTGCTTCGAATTAATGCACAAGCACCGCACCTCCTAATGTGCCTGAATAGCCCCTGACAACTCGCTTGCTTACAGCCATCCTCATGATTGGTTGCCCATGCAGAGCTTAGTTTTGCTTTGTACCGAGCTATGCAGTAGGTTGAGCTGGACTGGACCCCCAGGAAGGCTTGGGCAAGCATCCTGGGCGAAGGTCCTGTGTCCTCCATCAGCCTTGGAGGACTGATGGTAAGCCAGTCCGTGGAAACCCCTCGGGTGGGAAAGGCCCCAGCTCCAGCCAAGCTTTGGATGCTGTTTGAGGAAGAATCCTTTTCTGAGACCTTATCTGCTATCTACCATTTCATACAAGGACCACGAACCTGTTTTTAAGCGCTTTCTGTCTGATGCTTGCTTACCTGCACTACCGTGGTCCAGATTCTCCTTTCTATGAGGAGCCCAAGAGAAGGAACAGATGGTGCCCAGTTAGTTAAAAATCCTCTCTGCCAAGGGCCTCACAATTGACACAAAGATTAAATGGAGCCACTTGAAACAGATCAAGTGGAGAATGTAGATGCTGGAAACCCCCATCTGTGAAAGGCAGTCCAGTCTGCTAGAGACCAGGATGGGAGATGCATCTCTCCCAGGAGATGCAGATCCATCTCTAGGGATCCGGGACCAACTCAAGTGCGGGAATAAAGTGAGAGTTCTGCTTTCTGGCCCAGCTACCTTGCTGCTGATGGCCAGACTCCTCATTGACCAAATCCCATGGAGCAGAAAGAGATCTTCATCATCCCTCTCTGCTTTCCTGACACATACTGACCACAGGCAGGAGAGGTGGGCATAGAACACACAGCTGCAGCTTAGCAGAGGGAAACCCAAAAACTCTCTGCAGCATCCAAGTTTGATAGGAAGATGCCCCAACCTCCTGGTGGCCTTCACTTGGCCGCCGTCATGTCTGTCCTGTCCAGAGTGCTTGCCCCCTAGCTCTCAGCTCAGTGCTCATGATCGCTTATCCCAGTGGGAGAGAGGCCAGAAGGGACATGTCACAGTAGTGACAAAGGGCTGTGTGTGTGGCAGTGGGTTAGTTGAGCAGCTGAAAAATGAGATCAGTGTGTGATTCCCCAATGGTTGGTTGTACATGTGTGTGTGTGTGTGTGTGTCTGAGAGACGTGTGCAGGCCCCCAGGGAGTTAGGCCATAGATGAGAAGCGTCCATGGTCCTCCCCTCCGTGTTGGCAGGGAGACCCCTCAGCACAGTCTAGGGCGGGCGTGTCTCTGCAGGCACTGGTCACGTGGTCTGTGATGATGCCGCGGCATCTGGGTGTGACTGCAAGCGATGGTTCTCCTCACTGCTTCGCAGGCTGTCCGAACAGAGGTGCCCTGTCTGTCCTCTGCCCTTTCTGTCTCTGCATTCTTGGGTCAGTTTTTCCCTGATATCGACAGTCTGGTGGGCGTGTCCAGATCCGCTCGGCTCTTATGGGGCACTTAGGAGCTGGGGGAGTGAGAAGCCCAAGTGATTCCTTTGCAGTGAAAGAGAGTCCTGCTGGCATCTATTTCCTCGGGTAAGACTCCATAGGCGGTGAGTCCGACATGCTGGGTGGGTCCCCAGATGGGGTACTGCCAGCGGCATCAGCTCCTGGGGTTGGAGAAGTTGGGGCCACTGTGTTTCAGATACAGAAATTCTGGGGACACCAGTTCCCCCTGAGTCCTGTCCATGGTGTGGTCAGAGCCCTTCTGGCTAATCTCCCAGGTGCCCGGTTAAAGGAGAGGAGGGACTGCTCACCTCGCCCACCAGGGCCCCAGGCTCTCCCGCACAGGTCTTAGCAAGAGCTCTCCTGGTTAAGACTTCTCTGGGACCTGCGGATAAAACCTCTGAATTACGAGATGTACATTGATGGTGGAATTGTGTGGTCAGCGGGCGCTGAAGGTGAGAGGCGCAGAACCAGGTCCCCTTTAAGACTGCCAGGCGTGGGGTGGGCTTGTGCCGCAGGAAGAAGAGGCCGATGTTTTGCTGAGAAGTCGGCCCCGACCCTGTGTTTAGTTTGTTTCCCATAGTACAGTGATCAGATACATCTCTATCCCCACGTGTCAAAAGCTCTAGACCCGAAAGCTCCTGACTGTACCTTAGAGACCTCCCTTATCAAAGGTAACACTTTCCTAATCAGACTCCTATCCTTGACCGTGGAGGCTTCTGTTCTCTCACTTGAATTTCATTTGCTCGCTGACCCCTAACCCCCGAATTCACCCTGCTGTGCTGCTTCTGGCCTTGCTGAGCTGCGGAACTGGCCTTATGGTGATAATACCGCACTGAACTCAGTCCTCTAACCTTTGTCAGCTTAATTTACAAAGTTGAATTAACCTTGGATTCTTGCATTCACTGTATTTGACCTAATTTTTTTTTTCTTTTTATCTATTTTTTTTTTCTCTGTTTCTGTCTCTCCCTCCTCTTTCCTCCTCCCCGCTCCCTTCCTGTGTCTGTCGTCGCACATACCACCTTGGACGTCACTGGGACATCCCCACTGCCACATTTGTTTTTAAACAACCACATTCTCTCTGGGGACCCATTGCTTGGCACCTGCAGCGACCTTGGGAGGCTCCTCCGCATCCTACACCTTTGTCTCATTGCTTTTCTCTGCAGTGACTCTTCTCTTGCTCTGTTAGGAACTTGAACACACACACACACAAATCTAAATTTGCTTAAAAAGCCCAGTTCCTATGAGAATGATCAGTGCCTCCCCCCCCCACTCACCGCCCCGCTTTGGAAGAATCTGTCAGGACTGCCATGGCCACGCCAACAAGCTCTCTGTGGAAGAGGAAGCTTTGGCAATTGAAAACAAGCTGGACCTCCAGACATATTATTCCCACCCACAGATACGTTTGCGCCACTTCATACGGGGTTTGCCCCTTTTTTCATAGAGTATAAAAATGTTGCAAGCTCTTTTCTTTAGACCCTGTATATATAAAAACCATTACGCTAGGTTTTTACACGTAAAATCCTTGTCCGTAAAAACTTACAGACAAGTCTTTACACGTCTGCTACTGGTCGCATTTCTGGTCCTTACCTGAAGATGATGTAGCAGAGCAAGGTTTCCAGGTACCCTCTAGAGCTTGCGTCAGACAGTTAAGACCACCCCGCGTGCCCACTCTAACCCCGTGCGCCTCCTCTGCCCTTCAGTAAGTAGTTGGCTTTGCTTACATCTAGTGCCCATGGTAAGCCCACTGCAATCCACCAGAGCATTTTGCTGATCAGATGGGCACAATTCAGTCACCCTGTTGCCCAGGCAGTGGACGAACTCCGATTTAATCAGGTATTTTCTGGGGCTGATCCAACATTCTGGGAGGCCCTTTGGTCCTGGTATTATAACCAGCACCTGATGCTGTTTAGGATGTGCCCAACACCTGTGGGCTCTGGAAGGTCATGTCTCCCATTTGGGGTGACTCCTGCTGCCCAACTAAAGATCAGCCACGGACCTCATGTCTCGGCGGATGTGGTCCAGCTGTGACCCACCCTACTGCCTAAGCACCAGTTCCCCACGTTGGAAGCATCCGCTGTGAGCCTGGCCTGAGTCGAACCCCCTCCCCACACACGCTCAGCAGAGGTGAAGGCGGGGCCAGTCCTGAGCGTCAGTGAATCAGAACTCAGCAAGCCTGTCCCATTTCCAGAGTGTCCCTAAGCCCACCCCACCACCACCCCATCGGTCAGTGGCTTCAGTGACATGTTGCAAATTTTGGTAGGAGCCAGCTGCTCCTGTTGTTGGGGGTACACCCCATCCCCCGCACGCCCATGAGAGGAAGTGGGCGTGTTTGCTACAGTCCCCGTGGAGACGCCTGTCCAGTCGTAGCATCCGTGTCTGTGCTCGGGGGTCCTTCTCGTGGTCACATACCATTCCACGTATCTCATCTCTGAGCATCTTCACAGAAGTTTGGTTTTTGTTCTGTTTGGTTCCTTTATTTTTCAGTTCTGTTGTTGTTTTTTAACTTTCGAAGACTAGCCTTTCCCTTTGGGAAGCCAACTGTGAGCCTATGATCTTCGGGGCGACGCTGCCCGAGTCGCTGGGCACAAACAGGCCCGTGTCCTTGGCGCTGGCAGTTTAGAGGGTCACGTGCAGACACCGGAGGCCCCACACTGCCCGTCGGCGAGGCCGGGCAGCGCCTCTCACCCCAGCCCCGTCGACCTGCAGCCCCGCCACAAACCTCTCCCCTGGGGTCCTCCACCTCCAGTCCCACCGGGGCAGCAGGAGCAGACACGGCTCTTAGGCACAAGGAGAGGACTGCAAAGAGGCCCGCGTGCCTCCAGGCCCAGCGTAGAATCCAGCGCCATCCGGAGGGCAAAGGAGGATGAGGTGATCCTCATACAGTGGCCTGTCACTGGCTCCCGCTCTTGATATCCTCTTGGGCAGAAGTCACATATTCGCCCAGGAGGGCCCATCCCAGCCCCATAGGTGAGGGCCCGAGCCAATATTTCTGAAGGGACTGCAGGGAGAACTGCCCCAAAGTGTGGGAAAGCCTGATGACCATGATCCTGTCCCCTCAGCTCATCGGGGCCAGGCAGACCCCAGCTGAAGCAACTCCGGGATCCTTGCACTGGGCCCATTCAGACAGGTCCATGGTTTGTAAGGAATGCCCTTCGAGGGGCAGCATTTGGGCACACCCACCCCACCAGACGCTGAGTTCTCTCACGGTGGCCGCGCGGCCCCTAGCCCCTGAGACAGCTCCCTTAGCAGGAGGGCACGCTCACCACCCCGCTCAGCCACCCCTGCCCCAGCTCAGCGCTGCCCACGCTCCACACGCTGCAGGGCTTCTCTGCTCATTTTTGGAGTATTTATACAGCAGGTTTGGATCACGTTTTTCTACTAATAAGAATGCTAACATTGTTGTGCAGATAATCAGCAAGGCCTTGATGAAGTTTACACTTTTGCATTATTAAAGGAAATAACAGTTCATGTGAACTCACCATCGTGTTTGGATTTTATTTGATAATGGTGTATCCTGCCAG